ACACCGGTGTGCTGTACTAGTGACGAATTGACATGTTTGTTTACGTGACAAACCTTTCTAGTTCGTTGTGTCGGGTGGTGGCGGCTTTATCGACACATTAATATTTACGTGATATAACCCCAAAAAAACCTGCATTATGGATGACATTGGTCGCGAAAGCCTACGTGTTAAACTATACACATGTACATTGAACTTCTTTCACCATAGTCAACCGTGCAAATCGGAGGTGCGGGGTAATTGGGGGTTCTTTGTCTTTACCTTGTTCAAACGTACTTTACGCGGTGGCTTATCCGTACGTACGTCGTGTGTCGGTGCCACCCGCTCGCAGGCCTCTGTCGCTGGAGCGGGGTGTGTCGCGGGTCTACACTCCCCCGCTGCTCATCTCCCTGCCCACGCCCGACTTCAGCATGCCCTACAACGTCATTTGCCTGACCTGCACTGTGCTCGCCGTCGGCTTTGGCTCGCTGCACAACCTGCTGACGCGACGCTTCACTGTCGCGCAGCCGGCTCCCGCGTCCCGGCTTGTCACGTGCCTCGCCAACATCCTGCGCCGGATGCGTGGGGTGCCGCCGCTGCAGTGAAACTCCGGCGGCGCTGGCGCAAGCGAGGGAGGCCGCGACCTGGCCGCAAATGATAGCTCGATGGAGTGGCTTATCGCGTGGGGATTTATACAGCGGACAGATTACTCTGAAACTCGCCGTCGATTCTCGGTGTGGAGGGAAACACCGGAGGACCCGGAGGAAAATCCGCGTGACCACGGGGAAAGAGAGACACGCAAACTCCAAATGTACAGCAGCAGACGTCGGGGCCGGAATCGAACCCACGACCTCCTGTATACCAGGCGAGGGAGATAACATCTCACCGCCGCAGCGCCCCCAGTTAACTTGCATTGTGCGTGTGTTGTTTCGCCTTACGCGATGCTAGGACCTGCTTCTTCAGGAATTGACGTTGTTGTGCGTGCCGGGAGCGTCTCGTCGTCATTGCTAAGGCGGAGGTCATAATTCGGTTTTTTTGCAGGCTTTCTGCACACGTGAATGGAATTCATATTTCAACTCTATTCGGCTGTGATCGTGCATGTCGTTCCCGAACAGAGTTGAAGTTTGAGCGAGATTGTTAGGTCCCTGAAGATGCTGCCAGCATGTGCAGCGAAACGTCAGACATCGTCCCAAGTGACACGTGGTACGACCCGAAAAACTGACCGATGGCCTTGGCTGTGGCAAAGCGATCCGTACCGGACACATTGCGGCATGGTACCGAATAACAAAATTGGAAATGGGGTGAAAAAGAAAATCGTAAACAAAATTTTTTGCACGTGTGGTTCACGTGTTGTAGTTATTTATGTTTTTTTTTTAACTTTACAAAACCGAATGTAGTCTGTCACTGTACCGTCACCTCTCGGTTATCCGTGGGTGGATTATGCGGGTTGCAGATTAACCACGCTTGCGGATAAAAATTGTGTAAACCTCTTTAAACGTCCTTTGTTACGAACAAACGCGTCGGCAGGTGAACGATGAAGAAGCATTCAAAGAGTCGACATTCTACGTCCGTACCTCCACTCGACGTATGCCTGTTTTGATTGTCCGGTTTACATGTTTTGTAGGTTTGTTGATGCCCGGATTGATGGCGTTGGAGGAATTGCAGATTATAAGTAATCTGCCAGGAACCCACAACGATCACACTTCCTCGTGGCTGAAGACTGCAGGAGCTGTAAGCAGCTGATGAGTTGAGCACCAATACTGAATCAGAATTTTGATTTATCTTGGAGCATATCCAATGAGCTATGAAGCTCTTTTTCACAGATGTCCAGTAGGGGCGGCTCATGAAGTTACAACAACAAACAATACGGAAACACGATAGGATTGCAAAGTGTAGGAAAAGTAAGCAAATCACTCCAGTCCTTGGGCAAGGCAGCAAAAAGAGCATCAAAATCAGTCCCAGACCACACCGAGACAACATGCGGGTCCCTTGATAAAATTGCACATTAAAATTGTGCATTAAAAACTAACCGTACTGCACGGGTATACTGGCCATGCGCAGGCCTGATGGACGTGAAATTATTCTTTACATGTTTTGCTCTTAATTAAATGTATTACACGCTCCATTAACCCGAGATAATCGAGAGATATTGTCGAGTTTGAATTGTTGCATGTGAAATAATTGGGCTCAGTCCATGAATGAATTTCAATAATGTGTGCATGTGGGTTTATGGTGAAGGTGTGTGTGTGTTAGGATGAATAATTATTTGTGACTTTACAGAAAGAACCAAAGAGTAATTCCTGCAGTCACGGAAGCTTCGAATCTAGTTTGGGGTGAATAATGTTTGAATCAATATTGAGCAGTGAATTGAAATAAAATGTTAAGAGTGGTGCACGTCATTGTGGTTTTGTAAGAATGGGATGCACTGAGAACAGCAACATCTACATTGCAAAAGGATGATAAATTTCTGCACACATCAGTTTAGAACAGCATACCTGTCAACCCCTTAACAGTGCCCTACCTTATTACAGACCAATTCAGACCTTATTGGTCACCCCCCGTGCCCCTTATAAATCTCAACGTCCATCCTACAAAGTCCCATCAAGGGAGAAACACGAACAAATAGACATAAAAAAATACTTTTTTGTGTTGCCTGTAGTGAAACGGCTGTACGTTGTATCGACCTAAAATCTCAAATTCCCTGTACAAGAATACGCGTACACCGTATTGGGTTGACGGTTATGCTACATATTCTTTGGGTCTTTCGGTAAAGTCACGTAGATAGGTTCAAAGAATAGGAATTCCTGCAGTCACGAAAGCTTTCAGTCAAGGTATGCAACAGCCAGTGTATTAGTTTAACCAAGGCAGAACTCGGATAACAGGTTGGTCTCATTCGCAAGGGTCACTACATTGAAAAATAAAATAGGGCCAAAATATATTTTTTCAACGTTTTTATTTTACCACGTAAGGCCCACTGAGCTCCCTCCATAGCTCGTTTTCAGAAAGCCTCTTAGACAAAATAAAAAATATCACGACGTTTCGATCGGAAGCAATAGAATATGTATTCCTGCAGTCACGAAAGCTTTAAGTCGCAATGAACATGTTCACATTTACCCAGCACACTCGATGGACACATCCGTGGAGAGACAATTTTCAGTAATGGAAGTGCAAAATGTAATTATACAGGAACTATATTGATTTAATTAAGATGCGTATTCATTTTTATTTCTCCTGCAACATTTTTATTTGGCTGCTATTCATTTCTTCAGTCTGCAGACGATTGCTTGCGGTCGAAATTGTGATATTTTTTTTACTATGATTATTTTTCTATCTACGTGGCTTTACGGAAAGATCCATTGAAATATGTTCATTTGCGCTGCACTCCACCGCCCTCTGCTTGTACCAAGCCCAGGGTCATAACCGCGCTGAAACGCGCCCGTTCTGCACTTTCTTCCGCACAGCTCTTTCGCAGACCCCAAGATTCGTACTGACCCCGTTCTGCACCAGAATCAGAATCTCTCTCTATATGTGTCCCGAAGGAATTCCCGATGATCCATCAAGCCCTTTTTCGCAGATGTCCAATAGCAAGCGGGTCAGAACGTTAGAACAACAAACAATAACAACAACACCACGATAGGAGTGCAAAGTATAGGAAAGGTAAACAAATTACTGGGGGGAAAAAAAACATACGAATACAAATAAACTATTTTGTTTTTATATTCTTAGCTGTTTCGGTAAAGTCACGTTGAAGGGAAACAATAAAATAATAAAATATATATAAAACAAAAATTCTCACGACGTTTCGACCATAACACAAATGGTCATCATCAGGTGTGAAAACCCAACGGCAAGAAACATTTTATAGAAGTGGCGGTTCGCATTTATTTATTTTTAAACGGTGTTCTTATTTATTGAAAAATATATTTTATTATTTTATTGTTTCCCTTCAACGTGACTTGACCGAAAGAGCTAAGAATATGAATTGCTGCAGTCGCGAAAGCTTTAAATCAAAATTTATTTTGTTTTTATTTTACCAGGTAAGGCCCGCTGAGCTTATTAGCTTCTGTTGTAAGAAGCGACCTGGCCACAAATGATAGCTATAACGAAAGTGGCTCATCACGTGGAAATATATATCAGCAATACAATGTGTTACGCGCGACCCGAATATATACTGCTGGACATCTGTGGAAAAGAGCTTTATAGCTCATCGGATTCATCTAGTTTCAATAAATATTCTGATGCCGACCCCGTTCTACACCGACCCCACTCTGCACCGACCCCACTCTGCACCGACCCAGCAACGCAACTTAGACTCGGAATTAATTCTACACCGACGACCCCACTCTGCAACGCCCGGAACTGCACCGAGATCCCCGCTGTACCGACCCCGCTCTGCACCGACTTCATCCCCACACCGACGCCGACCTACACCTACACCACTCTACACCTACGCCTACACCACTCTACACCCACCCCGACCTACACCACTCTACACCTACCCCGACCTACACCACTCTACACCCACCCCGACCTACACCACTCTACACCTACCCCGACCTACACCACTCTACACCTACCCCGACCTACACCACTCTACACCTACCCCGACCTACACCACTCTACACCTACCCCGACCTACACCACTCTACACCTACCCCGACCTACACCACTCTACACCTACGCCTACACCACTCTACACCCACCCCGACCTACACCACTCTACACCCACCCCGACCTACACCACTCTACACCCACCCCGACCTACACCACTCTACACCTACCCCGACCTACACCACTCTACACCTACCCCGACCTACACCACTCTACACCTACCCCGACCTACACCACTCTACACCCACCCCGACCTACACCACTCTACACCTACCCCGACCTACACTACTCTACACCTACCCCGACCTACACCACTCTACACCTATCTACACCGACACCTATCTGCACCGACTCCCCTCTGCACCGACTCCCCTCTGCACCGACTCCCTCTCGACTCCGACTCCCCTCTGCACCGACATCCCTCTCGACTCCGACTCCCCTCTACACCGACTCCCTCTCGACTCCCGAGTGAGCACCGCAGCGCCCTCAACTCGGCCGCGCGGTGGCCGCCGGGATCGCGCGCAAATGGCGGACGGAGGCGACCACATCGACATCTACGCCGACGTGGGCGAGGAGTTCGGGCAGGTGCGGGTACCCCCATCCCCTTCTCTCTCTCTCTCCTGTCGCTCGATCCCCTTCGGAGAATCCCCTGCGATGCGAGGAGCGGGAAGATGCCGGGGTTGTTGTTGGTGTACGGGAGGAAGGGCCGCAGCGGGTGGGGGTGTCAGGCCTTTCCTAGCGGCTTAGGCCAAAGGCATGCCTCACGGTTCCGGTTCTTAAATGATCGCGCGAAGACTTTTACCAGTCGCCGTGGGGTTTTGTTGTTGTTGTGTACCTGAGTGAATTGTGCGTGCGTGCGTGGTGTGGGAACAGTGTTTTTTTTGTTGGCGGCGGGAGGGAGGGAGGGGGTCGTTGTTAGGCGTGGTGGCCTTGCTGCGGCTGCTGAGCTTATGAATGAGACCCCCCGCGACCAAAGCGTAAAGAGGCTGCGACGTTGTACCACCACCACAATGTAAATAACCGCACTACAAGTTGACACAATAATTGGCGATAACCATACCGCGTCACAACCCATACGGTTTTACCGCGTATTCTTGTACATGGGAAATATAAGTTTTCAGGCCCGTGCGGATTACAGCCGTTTCAATGCGGGCAACAACAACAACAACAACGTTTTTGTCTTTTGTGTTTCTCCCTTGTGATGGGACTTTGTAGGATGAACGTTAAGACTTATATGGGAACGGGGTGACCAATGAGGTCTGAATTGGTCTGTAATAAGGTCGGGTCGCGGCTTGTGTTGTGGCCGAAACGTCGTGATTTTTGTTGTTTTATTTTTTACCTACGTGACTTTACCGAATAGAACCAAAGAGTAAAGAGCACTGATAAGGGGTTGACAGGTTTGGATACCTGTCGTATAGGGCCACAATTAGAAGAAACCCGCCCCCCCCCCCCCAAAGTGTACTACAAGATGCGCCTTCGGAAAACTGCGTCTATTTACGAAAAGCAACAGCAACGCGCGCTTATCAAAGGCGCTTAATCGACGCGCGCTGCGATCTGCTGTGACAACGTCGGGAGTGAGGCTATTAACGGGGGAAAACGACCCTCGCCATATACATCGTCATGCTCCCCCTCCCCCGTAGGCTTGGGTGGTGGCATTGACCCCGATTCTTCCCCCTTCATAGGGTCCTGTCGCGTCGACATTCTGTCGCGCCAAAATCGGGTTTGCTGTTTGCGGAGTTTCCGTCCGCCTCTGCTCCCCTTCCTCGTTCTGCGATCGGGGTATTGCACCGAACCTCGCGTTGAGTTACAATATTTGTGTGTTTTTTTAAAACAACGGAGAAAACCGAAACGTTTATCCGGGAGTTGCGTGAGTGAAGCATTCGCAGGGGCTGGCACCTTACATTTTGTGTGTGTTGTTTTTTTAAAATCTCCGGCTCCATTGCCGCTCCCTTCCCCCCCCCCCCGCAGGAGCAGGACTACAACCGCGATGATGATCTCTACAACGACGTCCTCGCAACGTCCACCAACAACGGCGACACGCTGGAGTCGCGCCGCGCATCGCTCGACGGGCCGAGGGGGGGCGGGGAGCGCGACGATCTCGACTTCCCCGACTCCATGGGTGGGGGGCCCCCCTCCTCCTCGGCGGCCCCCGAGGGCTCCCCCAAGCCCGGCTCGGGGCCCAACATCGTCTACACGTACAGCAAGCGCGTGCCGATCTACGTGGGCAACCTCACTTGGGTGCGTGCGTGCGTGCATCCGCTAACCCCCGTTCCATAGCAAGCCGTCGTTCTACGTCGGATTGTACCGCCATGGGAATGTGGAATTTCCATCGCCGTTGACTCATCGCTTTCAATGGAGACGAGCGCTGTCGCCTCAGTGCTCGTTTCGGCTCGAAGGCTGCCTCTTTCGTGCACGTTTGCATTCGTACGGAGTGTAACCACCTCTTTTTTTTTCAAGGAAGACGTGGATCTAATGAAGCGGTGCCATAAACACACGTGACGAGAGGTCAACAGCAGATATTTACATGTCCATCTACTGCCCTATTATCAATCCACTGCTGGATAAGGGCCTCTGAATGCCATGCAGATCGTGGGGTTTATTTGACCATCCCTGCAACGATCAGTGAAGGTTTATTTTAAAAATATGATTTCCTAATCTTTAATTATCCTGGAGGAATCCGATGCGCTATGAAGCTCTTTTTCACAGATGTCCTATAGGGGGTGGGTTAAGGTGAGGAGCCTAGACTTGGCAGCATTGTAGAATACAGCAATTTGCTATCCTGCACTGCCCCACTGCAGCCATTATGTAACATCACAGCCCTATGACAAACCTGTTTGGCATTGTGGTCACCCGTCCAAGTACAATCCATGTGCAGCTCTGCTTAGCTTCTGCAATCTGTAGGGATCAGGTGCATTACAGGGTTGTTTGAAGTTGGGCAATAAAGGTGGACAGAACCTTAACATGATCAGTATGCAATAATAAACAACATTGGAATTTATATTTCGGGATATGCAATAATAAACAACATTGGAATTTATATTTCGGGAAGTACTGAAAAAAATGCATACGGTTCTAGTTGGAAAGCAACTTGTGTATCCTTAACCACCCCTCCCTCCACAGTGGACCACCGATCAGGACCTGATTGAAGCTTTCCAGGCTGTGGGGGTCAGCGATGTCCTAGGAATCAAGTTTTATGAAAACCGTGCCAATGGGCAGTCTAAAGGGTGAGTCTCTTCCGCGATTGTGGACTGCCAACTTTAAATTAGCGAACGCTTTTGTATTCGTGTTCAATTCGCAATTAATGTATTGTTAACGCCGTCAAACGCTTAAGCAGAAAATCATTATTTCAGTGTCTGGTGGAATCACGGATGGCTAAAACCAGGAACTCGATTGTGCTGGTTTGGCACGCTTGACTCCCTGAACCACATCTAAGCTTTAACTTTCATATTTTTTCCAACTACATTTGAACGCATTTTAGCATTAGCTGTGTTCATCCGTAATATAAAGTTTTGTAATGAGGGACAGACCAAATTTATCAAAACGTTGTTTAAAAGACCAAAAAGCACTTTTTGCAAATATGCAATCAAATTTGGCCCTGACTGCTACTCTGTTGGTTCCCATTATTGCGAATTAAATACTTGTGAGGACAAGCGCATGTTGGACAGTGTTGCGTAAAGCATGCATAGTCATGATTTGTCTTGGTTTTAATCCTTTCTGCAGTCACACTTTGTGAGTTATGGGCTTGCTGTTTTCACATGCAAAGTGGCTGTCCTCTTTCTACACCAACTCCACTTCCTACACGTCTTCCTCCTACACCGAACTCGCGCTGACCCTGCCACTCTTCCCTCTTCCTGCTTGTCCCTTCGTCAGGTTCGCCATCGTGAACCTGGGCTCGGATGTGGCAGCACGTAAGCTGATGGACCTGCTTCCGAAACATGAGATTCATGGTCAGGATCCCATCGTGACTCCTTGTAACCACCAGACGCTGAGCCAGTTTGAGACTCAGTCCCGAAAGAGTAAGTGTTTCTCGCCCTCTATCGTTTGTGGACCAGTTGGGCGATTGGTTGGTTGAATTTTGTTTAAATCAGAAAAAAGCTCATATAGACCAACGGGCCTCTCTTTCATGTTTAGAGCTGTGTTTCCATGACGAGAGTGAAATAGCTAATAGTCACACATTTACAGAGGTTTTTGTCGAGTCCACTACTGGATGAGGGCCTCCCTACATCACACGGGTCGTGGTTTATTTAATCGTACTCCACAACACTGGTCAATGTGGGTTGTTGAAGGTGGGGACAGTGAATAATGCAGTACAGCAATATATATTTTTGCTCTGTCCTTTGCTGGCAATGCAGTTCCACAGCAGGTTACGATGTATGTGTGTATGAATGTTGAAATTATTTTACGCTACTACGTAACCAACCGTGCTAATCGGAGGTGCGGAAAGTGTGTGATTCCTGTTTTGTGCATGGGAAGTTACCCTTCCAAGCACTATCTCGGCTAAACCCTGCTTAGGTTCTGAGCTCTGATGAGATGCAGTGCATTCTCAGATGGTTTGGTATACTATTGATTTATTTATGTGTCTTAACACGTAGGCTTTAGTGACAAATGTTATCCATAATAGAGGTTTTTGAGTTAGATTGTGTGGATATGAATGTGTCGCTAAACCCGCCACCACCCTACAGCTGAACCTTACATTAAACCTTACCACCTGACAAACCTTACTAATTGGCTGTGTCGGGTTTAACGACATTTATATTTTCGCAATCTGACCCGAAAACCTCTTACGGATATTTATGTTTTTTGTCACTGCAAAAAGTAGTACAACAATGAAAATTTCTTCAAAAAATCTGCACACAATTTAGGTTTGTGTTTTTAGAGGTCGGGACCTGGCCTGGTGGGCGGGAATGACCATTTAATGGAGAGAACTACTGGCTCGGTGACCTCCCGTGCATGGGTGGTGCAAAGGGAATGATCCATGTCTTTGTTGACTGAGGTGAAACGGGGAGCAGGGAGGTGGCTGTGGAGATTAAATCCGCATGGAGATTTTAAATTCTCCTGAGGATTACGGATTAAGGCGTGAGTTAATAACAACTGCTACTGAGTGCAATGACTTACATTCACTCTGTAGGAGCTGTCATTGGCTCCAAGACAGATTTTTTTTTTCTAAGAGAACTTAAGCCGACGTTTGACGTCTGGTTATTTATTTTCCCCTCCCCCTTGTCCATCTCCAGATTTCGGCCAGGTGGACCCTGCTCCGTGCAACTGGAGCAAGGGGGGCAGGGTGGGCCAGTCTCCTCCACCGCATGGCCCCTCGCGCGGGGGTCCTCCCTCCGGCGGCCCACCCCACCACCCCGGCCCCCTGGGTGCCCCCGGCCCCCACGGGCCCCCCTTGATGTCCCGGGGAGTGCCGTTGTCCCTACAGGGCCCCCCGATGATGGTGGCGGCGCTGCCCCCTCCGCCGGCCGCTCGCTTGGAGCGTCCTCCGCCGGGGCAGCCGTTCCCGGGACAGCCGTTCCCGGGGCAGCAGCCTCCGCCGCACTTTAACGACCTGCCCCCTCCTCGGCCGGGATTGCTGCCCCCTCACCACCACCCTCACCCCCACGCTCACCCCCATCCTCACCAGATGCCCCTGCCACCGCATTCGATAGGTCACCACCCTCACCAGCAGCAACAGCAGCAGCAGCAGCTCCCTCCTCACCACCCCCACCACCACCCTCACCATCCTCAGCACCACCCGGGGGCGGCACAACTGCCGCACGGCCCCCACGGCCCCCACGGCCCTCACGGCCCTCACGGCCCTCACGGCCCCCACGGCCCCCACGGCCCGAACGGCCCGCACGGCCCCCACGGCCCCCACGGCCCCCACGGTCCCCACGGCCCGCACGGTCCTCACGGCCCCATGGGATTCGTGCCGCCCCACCACGTAGGCCAGCAGGGGGGGCCGCCCCCTCCTCCGCCTCCGCCGCCCCCCCACGGGGCCTTCCAGCAGCGGCCCGGCCTTCCTATGCCGCCCCTCTCCTCCTCTCTGCCCCCGCCCCCACAGCAAGTGCGGATGCTGCCCCCACACCACGGGGGCCCCGGGCCGCAGGGCCCCCCAATGATGGGGGGCGGAGGAGGACCCCCCATGGGCCACCCCGGGCCAATGCCGACGCCACACGTCAACCCGGCGTTCTTCCCTCCACCTGGGGGAGCCGGAGGAGGGGGGGGAGGAGCAGGAGGTGGGGGGGGCAGCGGCGGGGGGGGGCAGCTGCCCCAAATGCCGCCGCCTAACGCGGGAGGAGGGGGAGGTCAGCAGCGTCCGGATGGTGGAAGAGGGGGTGGCCCCCCGGGCCCTCCAGGTCCGCCGGAGCAGTTTGTGAGGCCCCCGCCGGGATACGAGAGGGGAGAGTACCGACCCCCCCCGCAGGAGAGGTGAGCGTGTGCCGACCACGCCGTGCATTGTTGTCAGAGGTGGGGATTGGTTGGGGCAACAGCTGTTTGGGAGCGATTGTTGAAGGCTGTGGCCATGTCCATGCCTGGCCGCATTAGCCCCTCTTCCCACTTATTCTTCGACCATTTGTCTTTTTTTCCTTCTCTCTCTCTGCCCCCCCCCCCCCTTCATCCCTCTCATGAACCTTCCCATTTATTCTCTTAGATTGCGGCTGGGGAAGACGGTGGAATATGTTTAATTGCTCGTCAACCAATCCTCCCCCTTCATCTCAATTTTTTTGGTCGTGTAACGTCGTAAAGCCTAAATAATGTATCTGTTTTTTTTTTAATGACGCGATATAAACCAAATGTGCTCATAAATTGGAACGTGTGAATCCCACACTGCCCCACCACGCCTGACCCCGTTCGCTCTGTGCCACCCCAGCCACCGCGAGGCCGAGGGGCCCCAGCTGTCAGAGACGGAGTTCGAGGACATGATGACGCGGAACCGCGCCGTTTCGAGCAGCGCCATCTCGCGCGCCGTCTCGGACGCGAGTGCCGGCGACTACGGCAGCGCCATCGAGACGCTCGTGACGGCCATCTCCCTCATCAAGCAGTCCAAGGTGTCGGGGGACGAGCGTTGCCACGTGCTCGTCGGCTCCCTGCAGGACTGCCTGCACGGCATTGAGGCCAAGTCCTACGGCTCGGGGTCCAGGTGAGGGGGACCGAGCGGGGTGAGCGACGGGCGGAGGGGCGGGGCGGTGATAACGAGGAGTGAAAGAGGCTGAAGGCAGCGATGGGCAACCCGGACGAGTGGGGTGGGCCACATGCGCACGGCCCTCCTTCACCTCGGTGGGCCGCAAGCCTGACATCGTACTTGTGCACCAATCGCGACCCCATTCATGTATGCGCGTACGTTGAACGTCTTTCGCACCGTACGTAGCCAACCGTGCTAATCAGAGCTGCAATGATAGTGCTTTGGTCGCCTGGTCACAGTGCAAGGATGCGCTTCTGCGGCCGTCTGGAACGCACTTCCTTTCGATATTATGAAGCCACTGGAGCTATGCACTTTTAAATCTAGATTGGAACTAATTTCTTTAAAACCTTCGATTAGCACGGTTGGCTATGTACAGTGGGAAAGACGTTCAACGTAAATACATACAAGGCATTCCTGGGTTATTTGGGTGGTGACATTGCCCGGCGGAAGCACGTTTCGCTGCTTGTTGCAGAGGTTCGGAGTTCGAATCGTGCAGCCACCCTGATTAATGCTGCGGGTGTATTAACCGGAAAAAATAATACATGCCGTCTGCGGCCAAGCTCGAAAAATCATCCTCGAATTGCTCTTATGGAGCATTCATAGCAATCGTCGCACCCCTACTGTGAAAACTTGGTAGGCCCTTCCTGAAAAACTATCATAATACACATTCCAGATGTGCCATTTTAGCAGAACGCGGTGGGCATTGTAAAAATGGTTACCATTTAATATTGTTTTTCAAATGTCAAAATGGCACGTATTTAATGGTCATATTAATATCAGGTGTGTGTGTGTGTGTGTGATAATTGTGGGAAACTTGTACAATCAGATGAGATACCTGGGTGCGTATGGGTTCATGTGTACAATCAAAATCACCCTAGACACACTTAGACCGGGCCACCATGAGGGGCTCTGTGGGAAGCTTGTGACTCACGAGCCGCAGCTTGTCCACCTCCTGGGCTGGGGCACGGGGTCGGCAACCCACGACTTGATTTCATACGGCCCGTGGCCACGTAAGGCCCATCGCTCGGACTGGCAAAGAGTTGAAGGGGCTCGATGGAAGGTGACATGAAGGGTTAGATTGGGGTGAAGAGCGTTGGGCGAGAATTGATTTAGGGGTGAGTGTCAGCTTGAGACTCGAGGGGTGAAGAGTGTAAGGTGGGAGGGGTGACAGGTAAAAGGGGTCCTTGGGTGTGTGGCTGAAGCTTTAAGTTAAGAGGTGATGGGTTGACGGTGGGAGGTGGAAGGGTTCGGGTGTAGGGGTGAAGGGATGGTGGATTGGGATCACAGGGATTGAGGGCTTAAAGTTCCAGATGAGCAGTGCCCCTGATAGTGGCTGAAGGTTTAAGTTAAGAGGTGATGGGATGACGGTGGGAGGTGGAAGGGTTCCGGTGTAGGGGCGAAGGGATGGTGGATTGGGATCACAGGGATTGAGGGCTTAAAGTTCCAGATGAGCAGCGCCCCTGATAGTGGCTGAAGGTTTAAGTTAAGAGGTGATGGGATGACGATGGGAGGTGGAAGGGTTCCGGTGTAGGGGTGAAGGGATGGTGGATTGGGATCACAGGGATTGAGGGCTTAAAGTTCCAGATGAGCAGTGCCCCTGATAGTGGCTGAAGGTTTAAGTTAAGAGGTGATGGGATGACGGTGGGAGGTGGAAGGGTTCCGGTGTAGGGTTGAAGGGATGTTGGATTGGGATCACAGGGATTGAGGGCTTAAAGTTCCAGATGAGCAGTGCCCCTGATAGTGGCTGAAGGTTTAAGTTAAGAGGTGATGGGATGACGGTGGGAGGTGGAAGGGTTCCGGTGTAGGGGCGAAGGGATGGTGGATTGGGATCACAGGGATTGAGGGCTTAAAGTTCCAGATGAGCAGCGCCCCCTGATAGTTACGCGAGCAGAGGCCGCAATCGATTTTTCTTCACAGTCAACCGCCAGCCCTCAAAACGTTTCCGCCTTCTCCTCCCCGCCCCGCACTCTCAGGAAACGCGAGCACTCCCGCGATCGCGAACGCGACCGGGACCGCGACCGCGACCGGGACCGCGACCGCGACGGGGAGTCGGGGCGCTCGCGCGAGAAGTCTCGGCGCCACAAGGGCAGCGGCAGCCAGCGCTCGCACAGCCGCGAGAAGTACGACGACTACTACCGCGAGGGGGGGGGCGGCGGCCGCGAGCGAAGCCGCGAGCGCCGGGACAAGGAGCGCGACCGCGACAGGGAGTACCGCCACCACTAGAGACGAGGTTTGTGAACCGCAGCCGCCGCCGCACATGCATTACACACGCACACAGAACGCGCGCGCGCGCGATGCCCCCTTTTGTATCAGACGGGGGGTTAAGTGAGTCGCGGCTTGCAAAAATCGCATGTCGGGAAGGTGCAGGGGAAAGGTGCGTGGCCTCCTACGTGCCCAATGTGGGCGGAGTGACGCCACTAAAAGGCGAGGTTTGTGAGAATCGCATCGGCGGTCGCTGGAGAGCAACGTGCGTGCGGGGGGGGGGGGGGGGGGGCGTGAGTTGTACAGCGACGACGTCGCGTGTGAATATCGCGAGGGCGTGAGCGCCGCCACTTGGACAAGGTTTGTGAAATGCGGTCGGAAAATTATTGTTCACACGTTTGCACTGCACGCACACACACACACACACAAAATGCGCGGGTGCGTGTCTCTCTGGGTGTAGCGATGATATCAAGCGGGAGTAGTGACACCACGAGACAGGTTTGTGAAGCGCACAGACCACATGTCCACACGCAAGCTCACCTGCGGGCGCACGCACATGCACACACTCCACGCGTGTGTGCACACGCACGCGCGTTGGCTCGCCGAGAGAAGGTAACGTCACTTCTGTGTAGTCTGCCAGGTGAGCAGCTGTGCAGCTTACACACTGCCCTTTACACACACACACAGCTGCATCTGTTGCTTAGACACAAACGGTCACCCAGCAAGTCTTTGTGGTAATTACCGTGCTCTCTGGATTGTTAAGATGCTGCGGAAAGTTAAGACGCACCCAAAACCTTATTTTCGGGTGAAAATAAAGTTTTGCAAATCTGGTCACACACAGAAACCCACTGAATGATAAGACGCACGCCCACCTCTTACTTAAAAATACAGGGGGCAAGAGTGCATCTTGTAATCCGAAGAATACGGTAATTCATTATTGTACTGCTGGTGCAGTGCATATGATGGTTTGCATATTACATACGATACGACTTCAAGGGTAAGGACGCTACCAGCGTACTTGACAAGCAACTTTAATCTTCACGATATCTGCCACCGGACGGTAAGTTTATTTTCTTTGGTTGTTGTTGCCAATTCCATTTGTGGCTTGTTGGTGTCACCTCACGAGATGAAGAGTTAATGTTCGGAACTCTTGGAGCAAGCGGCGAAACCACCTCATGTCAGAGAATGACCCCGGAAGATGATGTCACTGAGCAACTCCTGAAGTCACTTCAAACGGGGGCCCCTCGCTGCGCACACTTAAGAGAAAGCGTTTCAGTACGCCTCGAGTGTTTCGCCGCTTGACAGATTGAACCAACGATCGTTAGTCAACAGAGCTGGAATAAGCCAAGTTTTTAAATTAAAACCAAAGAGCGTTGGGTTTTTTTTGGTGAAATCTAATAGCCAGGCTGAAACCATCAAACACGCTGCGTTCGAGAGAACTCGGTTTAAGCAACGGCAGATTAAACTCTTGATTCAAACACAGGATCTTTGGCAGAGCTGTCTCAGCCTCTGACTCCAAATTCACCATTTGAGGCCACCTCGAAGCTCAAGGTTTTTAAAGCTGTCAACTGCCTGGCGGCTTTATCGTTCGTGGCGATGTTGTCCCTTCGGCGCTGATCGCTCATGGTGAGGGCAAGCGTTTGATGAGGAGTGTTACAGCCCGAGAGCGGCACTCGCTGTTTGTGCTTGGGGTTTCACTCCCTTGGTGTGCAAGTGGAGTGAAGAAAGACAGGGAGAGAGGGAGGGTGTTTGGAAGGGGGGGGCTCATGTATAATAATACCTTACAGTTTTACTAAAATATACGTTTATTGCAAGGTAGTTATCGTAATAACACGGGCGATGTGTTTTTATTTTGTACGGTCACTTTGTTTACCTTTTATAGATAGGTACAGCGAAAATAAGGTTTTTTTTTAGTAAAAAAAAGACAATTGTAACTTACATCTAAGCATCATTTTAACACTTGCCTGTAAGGAAGTGTCGATCACCATGCGGTTATTTTCAAGCGGTGCGGAATTTTTTTCATTGGTTGTTTAGGTTCACCTATAAATTTTGATTTAAAGCTTTCGTGACTGCAGTAATTCATATTCTTAGTTCTTTCGGTAATGTCACGTTGAAGGGAAACAACAAAATAATAAAATATATATATATATGTTTTATAAAATATATATGTTTTATATATTTTATTATTTTGTTGTTTCCCTTCAACGTGACTTTACCAAAAGAACTAAGAATATAGGTTCACCTATACTTAAATAATATAATTTATGAATAATATTTATATCCCCCCCCCCACCACCATAAAGTAACTAAACGCCCTCGGAGCACCGTTTTTTTGCCTTTAGGGACCTGTTGATTAATGGCAGCTGTCCGTGTGGCAGAAGGTGAACTCGGCACCTGGTTTGCACGTGGACATTCATGTCAGATTAGGGGGTTGACGATTGCTGTGTAATCCCAGTTGAGCAATTCGCGCGTTACTTTCAGAACGCGTCAAATTTTGGAGGATGACGGCAACGCGCAACGGGGGTGGGGCTGCTGCTGCGCATGACGTCGGGGGACGCGGATGGGGCGCGTTTATTTTTTTCCGGTTTATAAACCCGCGGTGTTAATCAGGGGTGGCCTGCCGAATTCGAACCGTGAACCCGCTGCAACAAGCGGCGAACGCGCCACCGCTGGGGCCACATCACTGCCCCGCTTATAAAAGTCCGGTCAACCAACTCGGGGGTGGGGACAATTAAATGGTCGTGAGGTCCGCGCACGTGTTTACAATGTGTGTGTGTAATGTTGAGACGTCTTTCGCACCGTACCTAGCCAACCGTGCTCATCGGAGCTTCAACGATGGTGCTTGGTCAACATGATCACAATGCAAAGGAGGATGCGCTCCTGCGGCCGTCTGGAACGCACCTCCGATAGAAAACGAATTTATTTGAAACCTCCGATTGGCACGGTTTGACCGCGTACAGTGCGAAAGAAGTTAAACATAAATGCATACAAGGGATTCCTGGGTTATTTGGGTGGTGCATGGCGGTAGCACGTTTTGCTGCTTGTTGCAGAGGTTCGCGGTTTGAGTTGTGCGGCCACCCTGATTAATGCTGTGGGTCTATTAACCGTAAAAATACTACGCGCCGTCTGCTTGCAAGTTAGAAAAATCATCTTCGGATTACTTTTTTGGAACGTTAATAGCAATGGTCGCACCCCTACCGTGAAAACTTATTAGGCCCTTTTTGAAAAACTATCATAATAATTCACATTCCAGATGTGCCATTTTAGCAAAACGTGGTGGACATCATCGTATAAAAAATGGTTACCGTTTAATATTATTTTGAAAATGTAAAAACAGCACTTATTTTATGTACATATTAATATCAGGTGTGTGTGTGTGTGTAAAAGGCTAGTTATCTGTGTGGGGGATATAATTTGTGTAAAAATGTGACGTGTCTTGATCTGTAGGGCACTTGTACAATCAGATTAGAAATCTGGGTGTGCGCGTCTGGGATAATTGTGGGAAACTTGTACAATCAGACGAGATACCTGGGTTACGTATGGGTTCACGTGTACAGTCATAAGAGATATCGGAGTGTGGGATAATTGTGGGAAACTTGTACAATCAGACGAGATATCTTGAGTGTGTGAAAAATTGGTGCAGAGGTAGATGTTTGGATGTTGGACACTCCCATAATCGTCCGAGTCCAATCAGGCTGGATGTCTGGTGTATGTGGGATGCTTGTACAGCATAGCTGGGCTTTTGCGATCAGACTTGATATCTTTGAGTGCACGTGACGCTTGTGCAATCAGCATAGATATCTGTGGGACACCTGTACTGGTTAGATTGTCGGGCTTGGGAACACTTGTACAATCGGACTGGACATTTGCGCTATGTTTCAAAACTTTTGTTGACTCGGACGAGTACAATCAGAATATATATGTGGGTGTGTGTGGGACGCTTGTACAATCGTGAATAGATATTTGGAGTGTGGTGGGATAATTGTGGGTCATTTTTTTATAATCATACTTTATATCCTGAGCAGATAAGTTGTGCAAATAGGACTAGATACCCTGTGTATACGGGACACCTGTTTATGCTCAGTTTAGATGTCTGTGTGCATGCTAGACGTTTATTAAATGGGAGTGGATGCCTTGATTGTGGGACACCTGTACAATAAGGTCACGTAATGCGGGGACACTGGTATGATAAGGTTTGCAGATTTTGGATTTCAGCCGGGTGTTTGTTCAGGAGACTTGAGTTCATAGCAAGTGTCTAATGTGTGTGGTCTGCATGGTACCTAAATAATGTTTTTTTAAATATCAGTTGTATGTACGTTCGTAGTTTAAGTAGTGTACAAGGTTTAACTTTGAATGTAGCAGTCGTTCTGCGTGTCTGTGGGTCAAATCCAGCACATTGTGCAAATGATGAGAAAACTCATCATTTGTAGATTTGAAGCTTTCGTGACTGCAAGGATTCATACTTTTTGGGGTTTTTTCGGTAAAGTCACGTAGGTAAAATAAAATAGAACAATTAAATCACGACGTTTCGGAGGCAGCACAAGCTTCCGTCTTCAGGTGGAACAGTCACAGCAGAATTTCTGTGTCAAGTGCATAGTTCCGAGACGACTTGGATTATATATAGGTCAGGGGGGGGGGGGAGCCAGAAAGGGACGTGGGTGGGTGGGAGGGCTGAGTTAAGCCGCCTTTTGTTAAACGGCACAAACGTGGGTAAACACCTACTGAGATGTGGAAATGGCTGTACAATTAAAAGGCAGCTAACGTTTGACTTGATTTATAACATCTTTCCAGTGGTTGCTCAATTTGAAACCGAATCCGCGAGCACAAATCAGATTTGAAACACGGCAGAACGAATTCTTCGGCCGTGGCTGATCATTGCTTCAACACAGCGGGCTCTCATGACATTGTCTTCTCTGATACCAAAGTTCTCTGCAAACCTCCTCCCGGTTATCACCAAAGATTTGTCCATGAGGCGATCCAGATATACAAACATAGACACAACTTCAACCGAGAGGATGGTTTCAAATTGAGCAACCACTGGAAAGATGTTATAAATCAAGTCAAACGTTAGCTGCCTTTTAATTGTACAGCCATTTCCACTTCTCAGTGGTTGTATGTCAAACTTTAGATACCTTATAATTTTACAGCCATTTACTTAGTTTCCATTTTAGGTTTCAAATATTGGTCTGTACTTGATGTCTTGCATCGCCTCCCCCCCCCCGGAAAAACTCCGCCTCCAGAAAACCAAAAGGGTTGTTTAGCCACGTTTGTGCTGTTTAACAAAGGCGGCTTAACTCAGCCCTCCCACCCACGTCCCTTTCTGGTTCCCCCCCCCTGACCTATATATAATCCAAGTCGTCTTGGAACTGTGCGCTTGACACAGAAATTCTGCTGTGACTGTTCCACCTGAAGACGGAAGCTTGTGTTGCCTCCGAAACGTCGTGATTTAATTGTTCTATTTTATTTTACCTACGTGACTTTACCGAAAAAAAAACAAAAAAGTATAAAACTCATCATGACAGAAATGCGTTCGGGCTGGATACGAATTGGCTAATCGCATGAAATGCGATGCCTGATGGGAGTTGTGCCTTCCTGCTGTTTGTGAGCGCACCTTTGTGTGTTGTTAATTCGACGCATGCGGGTGCGTATTAATAGTTAAGTAATAGCGCGTTTACTTATTAATGCACACGCGATGCTATTTTGGTCATTAGGGTGTTTTGACCATACTTTACTACGCTGCTCCATGTTGGTTGTTGAAGAGGGGCGGGTGGGGAGCCCATGACCGCTTCAGATATCAATCACCACTGATGTTAGCTGTGGTCGAAAATCGAACTCGGGTCACCGGGTTCCCATAGTGCAGTGTGCTAACCACTGCTGTCCCCGAGTGTGTGTATGTGTAACATTTCAACTTGGGCGACATTTGTGCAATAAACCTTAATGTGTAGGACGCTCATGCCAGTCGACTTCCAAGTATGTGTAGGACACTTGGTGCTATTAGATAAGTACATATATATATATTTTTTAAACTTGTGTGTTAAGCCAATCTCAGGATTTTGTAAATTTTACCAGCAGTTTTTCGAAGCATATATTTATCATAATAATAAAAGCGTTCCCCCGCGGGTATGTTTCGACAGGGTTCGTTCGAAGCGAGGTGACGCTTGAGTTTGCGTCAAAGCAAAACAAATAAACGACTCCAAATGACTTAAGACAATCCCTGGCCTCAGTCGTCGTACGTGTGTTTTTGTGGCACAGCAGATTCCAGCAGTGCAGAAACCCCCCCCCTCCCCCTCCTGGCTCGCTTTGCTTCGCTCTTGTCTCGCGTATCTTGCAAGCGTCTGCTACAGTCGGGTGCACGGCGGCACCACGGGAATGTTGACCCAGTTTACAACCAACGACTCGCAGCGCCCTCCTCGGTGGACCAGGGTACAGAAATCGTGACGACATCGAAGCAAATTTTTAGTGAGGTTTACGGTAAGAGTTCTCGCAACTGCAATGCAACGGCATTGGGTGTCGTAAATTTACGAGAGATCTTAACGAGTCGGGACCGCTCACAGGTCGATCGTAACCGATTCTAATTCGTAACATTTTACGACAATGTCAAGAACATTTACTGTATAATATTTCCATACTTAGGCACAGGCCTGGTTAAACGCATGGAGTGGTGACATCATGCCCAGCGTGTTGACTAGGGTACTTTTGTGAGAGTTAGGATCACACTACAAATCCCCCCCCACTTTGACTTGTGATGATTTCTCTTTAGACTTGATCATACCACAATCGTAGCCTGCTTGTTCATGGGGAACATTGAGAGCACTATATCTGTACTCTACCCCCAGGTGTACTGGTGCCATTGTGGCTGTAGTTTCGGACGCACAAAAGGAGTCCTGTGGTCTGGGACTCGCCAGCTGTCGGACAAATTATTGTCGCGCCCAAAAGGCACGACAATAAATGACAGATTACGAAACTTACACCTGTAAACGTTAAATTACGCGCTTAACGAGTACCTGGAGGAAACCCGCAAATGCATTCAAGGGGCATAACACTCAAAGATCCACACAGATAGGTTGACAAATCATTGCTTCTTTACTGCTACCTCCTGGGCCACTTCTGCGCCCCCAAATCTGCATCCTGATTCTGTGAAAACTGCAAACCTCAAGCCGGGTACAAGTGCTTGTCCATTGTCCATAGCTTCTGATGCTTTGTGTGCGTGCGTGTGTTCAGTTGTACAACCGATTGAGCATTTGAATCTGACTTTCTTTGGTCGATGACTTAGGCCCCTTGAAAAATTATTCCGGTCACCCGGAAAGGTTCTGCCTCCCGAAGGCACGAACTTCCCCCACCCCCCTCACCTTGCAAGTCACACGCAATGGGATGTAGCTGGTGAGATCACGGCACCAAACACCACCATCACCTCCCGTCCAGCGGTACATCTCAGATAAAAAGAAAAGATAAGCATTGATTTTTTCTGTTGCTCACCGCCGAGAGGGGAAACCTAATATGCAAAAATGAGAGAAGAAAATCCTCCGCACAACTGTAAACGTTAAATAAAGAGAACTGCAAGTATTGGGAGCATACATGTCTCAAACGCAAAGGGCCTCACATCACAGCTCATCTCAACCCTGCAGCAATCGAGCCTTGGGGGGTGTGGGGAGGCGGGGGTTCAGGGGGGACCCGCAGTGGTCCCTACAGGGCACGGGGTGTAGGCTGCATGGGCTTGCCGTGAATGGGTGCAGTCTGCTATCAGGGGGCAATGTTACGCCTTGGGTTTTTGAACTTGGCCTGAACACCAGCGGGTTGTGTTACGTTTACGTGAAGCGGGGGTTTCACTGCACCTTGGTGTGAGTGGTGGGGACCGTGTGACGATGTGTGCGGGTTGTGGACGGCTGGATAACTTTTTCACCAATGCAGAATGATAGCGATCGTATTTACTCGGTGTACGTATGTTTAACTTCTTTCGCACCGTTGGTAGCCAACTGTGCTAACCGGAGGTGTGGTGCTGTGAGGTGGCATAAAAACACCTACACTCGTGCCGGGTTAAGGGATGGGTAAAGAGGACGTTCAGGTCTCAATGTTAACGGTGGGAGGGGAGGGTGGGGGCTCTGTTATTATTTATGAGGTACGTGGATTGATGGGTCACTTCTGTACCATGGCGGGAATGGCTGAATTTGTTTTACACTGATAGTCGTTGCTGTGAACTTGTTTAAACACCTTCGCTCCGTGCGTATTTGAGATACATGTGTATTTGAGATGCGTAAGGAGGAGATTCATTTGCAATGTGTGAGCGGTGTGGACTATTGATGTACACTATGGGGTTTTTGGATGTGAGTCACTTCTGTACCATGGTGGAATGATAGGGATTGTATTTACACCAGCAGGCTGTGTTGTGAAATTGCTTCAGCACTTTGGCTGGGTGTGTTAGGCTTATCTAAAGAGGTGGGGAGGGGGGGGGGTCACTTTTTATTGGCGTTAACGGTGGGGACCGTGTATCGACATGGGGTTTATACGATCGCGCTTATCACACACAAAGTGCCTGCCACAAATGAACCACAATACCTCGCTGATCTCGTCAAGGAGCATAAGCCATCACGCGAACTCGGGGTCATCCTTGTAGCGGCTTTTGCCGAACCATTGAACAAAGACGGTCACTGCATCGCGCGCTTTCAGATGCGCTTCTGCGGCCGTCTGGAATGCTCTGGATATTAGGAAGCCACTGGAGCTATGCACTTTATAATCATCTAGTTGAAAACTCGTATCTTTAGGACTGTTTTTTTTTTGTGTTTCCCCCACACCTCCAATTATCACGATTGGCTAGGTAGGGTGCGAAAGAAGTTCAACATACATATAAACCCCGACTGAGATCGAGTTTTGCTCAGCATTGTCATTTAAACCTGCAAGCAAAAGTTAACGTTCATCGCGGTCAAATCAGTCGAATTGAAGTCCAGATTACAAGCCACGTGTGCGATCACTGCTCACGTGCAACCAAAATAGAGTAATAAATAAATTGCCCCCCTATTCGAACGTCGTGCTCCGTGAACTTCATTCGCACCCCCTCCTCCCACTTTGCTGCGTGAATCGCTTCGGCGCTTGGTGAGCGGTGAGGTCGTGGAGGTGGTGGAGGTTAGGGAGAGAGTGTGAGAGAGAGAGAGATGAGGAGATAGAACGTGCGCTCTCCCAGGGCGCTCGTTGAGCTGCCTGCCGCATCGACAAAGTTGCCGCGGTGAAACTGTTCACGTTTGAAGCCGAAACGCGAATGCGGGGACCGTGGTTGATTTGTGGTCATGTGTGATCGATGCTGTTCAAGTAGCGTTCGTCGCTCAAAGAAAATTTGAATCCATTGCGATCCGTCATTTTATGCACACCCAACCGATGGTGTAAAAGTAAAAAAGACATATCCTAAACATGAAAAGTTATTCGGATTTAACAGTTAATTTTTCACATGTGTACCATCTTCATCAATTATCTGCCGGATGAAGGCCTCCTCCATTCCGTGCGAGTTCTAAGGTTTTGGCCATACTTCACCACGCTGGTCAGTGCGGTATGGTGAATGAGGGTGCAGGCGGGGGCGCAGGACCGGCTCAGATCAAAGTTCTTGCCGCTGATGTCGGCCGCGGCGGGGAGTCGAACTCGGGTCGCTGGGTTCAGCGCAGCGCGCGCTACAACTGTGCCCCTGCTCCACCCGCTATCGATGTGAGCGAGCGTAAGTGGTCATCGGGTCCCGTCCGGGTTTTAAAATGATTGCGGTTCGGTCTCCCTGCTTGTGTGTTAATGACAAGGAGAGGGAGAGAAAAAAAAACCCAACCCATTGCCGTGTGACTGAAATGAAATTCCTCTGTTTGTACCGTAGGTGGCACAGAGCACAGACAGGCTAGCACTCGCTGCTTGGCGTTTGTGCCTCCCCCACCCACCCTTCCCACTTCCCCTCCCTGCCCAGCCCTGCCCAGCCCTGCCCATGTATTCGTTGTGAACCTTACCCAGCACACTCAGATTATCATTGCACTGCGGCTGCCCACGTTCACGCGAATGCAGACAAACAAACAAACAAAAACGGACTTGCGGTCGATGCGATGACCACACGAGGCGACCACCAATCGCCTCTTCGCAAAGTCGCCCACCAGCCGTCCCGTCGTCCACCATTCGTCCCGTCGTCCGCCAGCCCAGCCCTGCTCAACGCGAGGACCTCATCCCTCCCACGCTCTCTCCACGTACGTGATGTCTGTGCGCTCGCAAATGTCCCGTGTTTTCGCTTGGAATCGTTACGTCGGTTTTTGCAACGCTTCTGGCCTCCCCATGCTGCCCCGTCTTGCCAGCCTTCTCGCCTCGCCGATGTAGACCCGGGAGTGGGTCAAACTTTCCCGGTGGGCCCACACCCATTACAACGAGAGAGGCGGATGCGGTGTGTGGCCCGGGAGCAGAAAAAAATGTCCGGGGTCGTCAAACCCGGATAGGCCCGGCTAAAGTTAAGCCCCGCAAACGCGTTTCTGACTCTCCGTGTGTTCGCCATTTAGGCGGAATGGAGCGACGGGCCGCCCTGTGCCGTTAAGAGATTTTCGTTTGGGTGTGGAGGCGGAAAAGTCAGGAACCAATCAGGCCGTGGGAGCGGGGGGGGGAGCGAGAGCTCGAGCCGAGGAAGCGCTCGCTCGCCCGCTCGCGGCTGGTTCTCTTTTTTCTGCCTGGAATTAAACGACGTTGCAACGCCAACGGTGGAGAATCACTCGATATATAGCAAAATGATACCGAATCGCATCGGCGCGGGAGAGATGATATTGATTGGATCGAGTGGAAATTGGGCAGTTCCCGGCTACAATGTTGTGTGCTGCGGTCGTCATGGGCTTCAAATCGCCCTCCTTGCTGCGCTGGACTCCGTAGGCCCACGGCGCGGAGGTGGCTCCCACAATGTGCAAGGACGACGTCGCCACGCGGTTGTAGGCCCCACCCATTCGCGAGCAGAGACGAGGGGAGGCTTTCAGTGTGGCTGCCAAGCCCCTTAGAGGGCGCTGGAGTTACACCTAACGGTGCGCAGGTGGCTGCGACTTTTTTTTTTGTATTTGTCTCGCGTACCGAAGCTTCAAGCCTCTTGTGGAAACAGCCCTAAGGACGCCGCAGGGGTTTCTTGGCGCACCTACAAATGCAGCAGCCGTTTTGATTTTATTTGTAGAGCCGGCACGTCTCCCTTTTACGGTTGGGCGATGCCCGGCATTTGCCGGTGATGACCGTGGTGAACACGGCGATGTTTTGCTGAAAAGTTGTAAAGTTGTCGCGAGCTTTGCTTTTTTTTTAAATCTTAATAATAGTGACGTGCGCGTTGTTTTGGTTTGTTGCTACGCCGGAGTGTTAAAATTGTGTTTCGTACAATAGAACCTCTTGCAGATTTAAGGCTTCAAAGTTACGATACATTGTAAACCGTGATAAAGTTAGCTTGATAAGAATCGGGTGGCGTAGCCTAGGGCGTGGGTGTGGATTGCACAACCGTGCTTTTAAGCCCCGCCACCCGGGCTCGATTCCTGACCGCGGCTGACATCGGTGGCGAGTGTTATCCCCGACCGATCGTGCATATCCATCCCCATCACCAAACGCACAATGACCAGCTTGGTGAAGTATGGCAAAGCACACCCCCATGGCCGACGCGGCATGAGGGAGTCCTTCATCCCGAAGTGGATTGACAAGGGCCTGTGACTTATTATTATAAACGTAAATAGTCGACCCTTAACTAAATGCGAGCGGCCGTGCGACATGAATAGACAAGTCGAATTATTTACCTGCTCGCACACGAGAGCGTGGTGGAAATTCCACATTCCCGTGGCTATTTTCACGATTATTTCTGTTGATGATCGTCACTTAAGATGGCGATGAGATGAGTTGGACCACGATTTGAACCTTTACGACCTTCCGATTGCGAGTTAAGCTCTCAAACTCTCTCACGGTCGTGCTGCCGGCCTGGCTTGATCAGAATACGCACGACCTGTAGGCGTACCAAGAGAGAGTTTGAGGTTTGTTTCAGCCATGTGTTGTTGTGCATGTGATGTTTGAAATAAAGTCTTCTGAACGGAGGAAGAGGAATTTACAGTCACAACAAACAAAACAAGTTGACACGCGTCAATAACACTGCGCCAAAGTATATCATAGGTGACGTTTTATGCAAATGGATTTCCTTCATAGCACGTGTTATTGATAAACGTGTTGTTATTATGCACCACTGCCATCACAGCAGCTGCATGACCAAATCACCAGATCATGTGTTTGAAGGCTGCTTGAATAATGTTGTTGTTTGCTAAAATGTTAAATCCAGTTCGGTTTATTTTTGACAATTTTTTTTTTCATTTTGTTGTTCATGTACAATACAATACGTACAACAGCTACATAATGTTTTAAGAATCATTTTGATTGTCAGTCCACCGATCGATAGAGGCGTCTCCTCCATGCCACGTCGGCCATCGGCGGTTGTTTGACCATACTTCGCCACGCTGGTCAGTGCGGGTCGGCGAAGAGTGGGGATAGGAGGCCGAGGAGCGGCTCGGATGCCACCTGTTGTTGGCCGTGGACAGGAATCGAACTTGGGTCGCCCAGTTCACAGCGGGGGGGAGTGTGCCAATCACCGCGCTAACCCCGCACCCACACAACAAAATGCTCGCGTAGGTATGAAGAAATAATTTTCACCATCGCAGCTGATTAAAAGTGCAAATTTGAGGGGGTTGTGTGAGAGTTGAATCGCAGAAAATGGAGATAAACGGCTTCGAGTAACAGCCACGATGACGTGACGTCATCTCCCTCGCCTACGCCTGTACATTTGGAGTTTGCGTGTCTCCCCGTGGTCGCGTGGATTTCCCTCTGGCTCCTCCAGGTTTTTACCTCCACCTTCAGAAATATGCCTTTAGAATATTTGGCTGCAATGTCCACGTGATAACCCACACTCCATTGAGCTTTCCATTTGTGGCCAAGTCGCTTCTGAAAAAGAGCTCTATTTCGCTCAGTGGACCTTGCCTGGTTAAATAAACATTTTCTACGTGTCTCTCTCCATGACGGAGCCATCCCGATGTTCATTTCTGCGTGTTGCATAAAAAACAAAAAAATTACGTGCATTTGTAAAACGAGTTGGATTTTGAAATGGGTGAAAAAATAAAATGTAGTTGTGTTCGCAAGCTGTTACGAATGTTGGCGTTGGATTTGTGACCGTTTCGTCGATCCTGGCGACAATGTTGACAACAGCTTCACTCGAATGTTGGCAAAATTAAAAGACTGTTTTGTGAAAACCGTACCGAGTTGCATTCAAATTCTTGCCCAGCGTGTGTCGTTGAAGAGTCCACGTTGATGGCCAGCTCCCTCGCGGCACAACGTCACGTGTCCAACTCTGGCGACTTGAGGTGTGTGAAAAGGTCCGGGATGTGTGAAAACGTAATTTACTTTTTGAAAACTAATTTCTTTAGAACTGCTTTTTGTCTTCTTTGGTTCTTTCGGTGAAGTCACAACACAAGTCACAACACAAGCGGCCTTCATGAAGGCCGCTTGTGTTGTGGCCGAAACGTCGTGAGAATATTATTGTGTTATTTTATTTTATCAATTTATTATTTTATTATCATTCTACGTGACTTTACCGAAAGAACCAAAGAAGATGAATCATTGCAGTCACGAAAGCTTTAAATCGAAATTTTCCGAAAGACCCAAAGAATATGAATTCCTGCAGTCACGAACGCTTTAAGTCACTTATGGACTGTCACGACTTTCCACAAAGTGGTGCTCGTCAACAACAACCGCCATTCGCCACTAAGTGTCGGTAACGTCACCGCAGCGCCTGTGCCAGGCTACGTGCACGTTAAGGCCACGTGACGTGTCGAACGCCCGCTGGCAGGAGTTCAAGGGGCAGTACCCAGGTGCCACGGCTCGACCGACTGAGATGACTGGCCGATGCACCATCTGTTCCCCCTTACTGTGCACGTCAAACCCACGGATTCACACACACAGCTGAGTCTCCTCCTGTCACTGCAAGAGGCTACAACGTAGCAAGCGGGAAACATTAGAAACGCAGCAGTTGTTTTTGTTTGCCGGGTCAAAAACATCGCCCCTCTAGGACCCGATCAGAGTGTGGTGGCTCAGACGCACGCGGTGGCGGAGGATGCGATGCGTATCGGCCCTCCTGGGCAGGGCCTCGTGTCGTCAAGAGTGCTTTGTTCGTCGGCCTCTTAAAACACGCACGATTCGAGGGTCAATCTGAAAATATTTTTTTATTGTTGTTCAAAACACATGCGATTACGTATTTATTAGCCGATTCTCCGTTTTCCGGACAGTTTTTAAGATTCGTAATTTCCCGCCATCGCAGTCAACGTATATGGCAGAGTAAATACAGTACCCATGTTTTAAAACAAGTGTTCACCCTCTTTTGTTTGTAATTATTGTAGAGATTAAAAAAAAAACATTTACTTTGTCTTTTTTACCCAGTTTCATTCCGATCGTGCCATGGTATGAATAATTAATTAGGACCTCTGGCAGAGGGGTGCAACCCTGTGTGTTAATAGAACAGTCCGTGGAAGCGGATACCACAGAGCTACCTCTGAGATCTCTTCTTCAAGCGACCTCTGGCCCGCACAAAGTAGGGGGCAGCACTTTTCCCACCCGCCCTGCCGCATGAGAGTAATTGTCATCGCGTGCAAGTTAACCCGATATATATATATTTTTTAAAATTCTCAGAGCTGGTATTTAAACAATTTAAATACATTAGTAGATTTAACGTGGTGGAGTCTTTTTTTTGTGTGCGCCGTCATTGGTGACCGAGCTGAGACCACCAAGCTCGCTGCACTCGAGGACCCAGGTAAGTTAGCGGGTGGCTGAAACCTGGATGCAAACCTAGGCCCTTGGAGCCACCCGTGCCACCTCGGGACAGACATCAAATCACGGAGATTCACTCGTGGGGAGAACACATCGAGAGACGGGATGACGGAGCGGTAGTGACGGAATGGAATGCGTTTGAGAGCACGTCCATCGAGGGAGATGGAGCGACGAAATCGGTTCACGTGCAGGTGCTGAGCGGGGGAGGGGATTGTTAAACCGCGGGACCGTGAGAGATTGTGGCTTCTTGAGGAGGCCCCCCCCATCCAGCAGCTTGGCCGATGACGACAGTTAAGATGCCTGCACCTGTGCGGTGGATGGACATGCCATCCCACGGAGCGATGGAATGGGTCCGCTGGTGCAAGCTTCTGAGGCTCGCAGGGTCGTGAGCCGGTGGCGGCGGGGGGCTGGGTGCCGGCCACTCGCCGACCGTCGCTCGAGACTCGCGGCCGGGCGAGCCACATCGGGCCGCCGAGACGGAGCGATGGGATCGTGCACGCGGCGCAAGGAGGGGCGGCATGGATCACTGCCTCGTCGCAAGACCGTGGGATGGGGGGCGAGGCGCGGCGGCGGTGGCGGATTGGGAAGACCCTCTATCCAGCGGTGGATCGAGTGTGGCTGATGATATCGACGATGACGATCGTGCGCGTGTCGGAATTCTTTTGCGCCGTGCTAATCGGAGGTGCGGCGGGAGGAGGAGGAGGAGGAGGGCGGGGGCGGAGGGCGGCAACAAAGACGCGCAAAGACACAGTTTGGTTCGCGCCGCCCGTGCGAACGTCGCTCACTGAACGAGCCGCGACAGCGCCCACAGAGCGAGCCAAACGGGCACGAGGAGGCCTGCGTCTCGGAGGGGCGCCGACGCCTCGCCCCTCAATTCGATGTCGGTTCTGCACCCGGTTTCAAGCAGTTCCTCTTGCGGAATCCGGCTGTCGTCCGGCGGTTGGCTCTTCTGAGAATCCCTCACCTTGCAGGGCGGAGAGCACCGAAGACGTTGCTCAAGACACGGCGCAGACGAACACCAAGCAACAACCACGGCCGCCATTCGTCACCAAGTGGGGCAGGTGGCAATCGCCACACGGGCGCACTTGTGCCATGCCAGGTGGCACACAGCCGGTGCATCTGCCGGTCATCTCACTCGGTCAGCCCATTAACACCTAGGTCTTTCCTGTGACATCCTGCAGCTAGCCTGGCACTGTGGGGAGCACAGGGGGTGCATCTCGCATTATCTAACCAGAGGAATGTGGAATTTCCACCACCGGCTCTGGGGCTGTGAACTGGAGATGCGCACCGCCTCCTCGGTGCTAATTGGGTGCCACGGTGGCCAGATGTTAACTACCTCGCCTGGTATACAGGAGGTCGTGGCTTCGATCCCGACCCTGACGCCTGCTGCTGTATATTTTGAGTTTGCGTGTCTCCTCTCCCCGTGGAAGCGTGGAGTTTTCTCCTGGTCACGTTTAAAATAAATATCGCGCGTTTATGGAGTGTTTGGCTGCTGCACATTTCCACACGACAATGATAAGCCACTTCGTTGAGCTATCATTTGTGACTGGGTCGCGTCTGAAAAAGAGCTCTTCAGCTCAGTGGGCCTTGCCTGGTAAGATAAAAAAAACGTCGAGTTTATTCAGCATCAGCCCTGCTTAGATTCTGAGATCGGATCAGATCGGAGGCGTTCCTGGGTGATTGTATCTCGCATCGCTGAGATCTATTACTTGGTCCGTTCATCGTGTCTCCAGTCCGAGGATGCTCAGACAAAAGGACGCAAGATCGTGGGTTGATGACGGGATTGTGGAAGATTTAATACAGCAGTGGAACAGCGCATGGCTGCTGATGGTGATGACGATGAGTGCAATGGACATTGCTTATTAAGGCCTAATTCAGGTGTAAGTCATGAACATGAGAATCGAGGTGATACGGCGCCCCTTCAGCTCGGAGGGGCGATGATTGTTGTGTGGGCTAGCCTAGGGGACCCCCACCCGCCCCAGTGGCAGCTGCCCCTGTGTGGTAGAAGGCGACTTAGCAGCACCTGGCCTGCAAGTGGGCATTAGTCTGTCAGTAGGTCAAATTTCGACTTTAAACTTTCGTGACTGCAGGAATTCATATTCTTTGGTTCTTTCGGTAAAGTCACGTAGATAGAAAAATAATACAAAAATAAAGTGAATAAAAATAAAATAAGCAAAAAATATGAATATATTTATTTCATAATTTGAATTCACTTTATTTGATTATTATTCTTTTTCTATCTTCGTGACTTTACCGAAAGAACCAAAGAATATTACTCTGTCAGTCGGGGGGGCTATTATTGCTTTGAGGTCTAGCCTAGGGGACCAAGGTGACTCAGCACCTGGCTTGCGAGCAGTAGGGGGCCGTGATTGCCGCTGCTGCTGCTGTGTCACTTACCTGCTCCACGGCTTTCATGACTCGCAGCAGATTTCCACCCAGTGCCAACTTCACCTCCGCCTCGGTCCAGTTCCTGTTCAGGAGCTCGGCCACCAGGTGTGGATATTTGGAAACGTCCTCCAGTCCCGTGGGCACCCTGACAAAGACAAGGATCCCCCCCCCCCGGCCCCCGTATAGACTTCAACAGACCGTTGGGGAAAGTGCTGTTAGCGAGGAGCATCTTATGAAGGCCAGCATGTGTGAGAGCGGTGAGTCCGCGCATGGCCCGCCCCATTATTTTATTATTTACCACTTCCGTCCGCGCCTCTTTCCCGCACTGCGCACTCAGTCTCAGTCACGGTTTTGGTATAAAGCCCACAAGAGCTAACCCCTAGTAGCCAGAATGGGTCAAAAAAGCTTCTTTGAAAAGGAGGAAAGACCCAATGATGACCACCCCCCCTCCTCCTCCGCCTCTGATCTCTGCACCTAATTGGGTTCAGTGATGACTTCATCCGGCTTCACGCTTCTGGCAAATTGCCCAATGATGCTGCTTGATGTAATTGCCAGCGAAACGTCGTACTACTCAGATTGTAAATGTTGTGGATTCACTCTTCAACACACCGGTGGGCTGAATTCGTAACGAGTTGGCGTTTTGTTTACGTGACAAATCCCGTACTGATTGGCCGTGTCGGGTGGCGGAGGGTTTCAACACATTTACACTTATGCTATCTAACCCAAAAACTTTTATTATGAACCTTAACAGACTGTAGGGGCAAGTGCTGTTAGCGAGCACCTATGAAGGCCGGCACGGCGCGCGAGGGGGTGGGAGGCCAACACCACGCCCGGCCGCCTTTGTCTCCCCAGTGGCGATGTTTACACACCGCACCAGGTACTCATTTGAGGCTGAGTCGACCCAGGGGAGGCCCCAGGACCGGTTCAGATAATGCAGAACAGGCGTCAGCACTTGCCCCAACAGTCTGTCACAGGCTATACGGGGAAACTTTGTCTTTAATTGTGGTGCAGTGGTTAGCGACACCGCGCTAAGAGCCCTGCGTTGGGGATTGACGTTTAGGGGCCGCCCATAAATGACGTCACGCGATTTTGGACGATTTTTGACCCCCCCCCCTCGTCACACGGCGTCACAAAAAGTCAGACCCCCCCTCAAATATGACGTCACAAAGCTCTGCCCCCCCCCCCCCAAAATGAAACATGCTTAAAATCGCTCTAAACTATATTGTCATTGTAGTGCGTATTTAATGTGGCGCTGCACTCTGATGTTGCAGGAGAAAACATTTATTTTAAAAAGTCTATTTAATTAAGTAGAACGCGTTGTCTATATTTATTCAAAGTTGCGCATTCTGATGTGACGTCACATTTCTCAAACCCCCCCCCCCACCCTCGTCACCTCGTCACACATCGTCACAAATGTCTGACCCCCCCCCCGCCCCCTAGGTGCGTGACGTCATTTATGGACGGCCCCTTACCTCGGCACTCCGTCGTAATCCCCTCCGAAGCCCACCGACTCGTTGCCAGCAACTTTCTTGATGTGGTCAAAGTGGTCTAAGAGCAAACACAAGGGACACACATTGTGTTCAATCGCGATGCATGGGCCCTTTGTTAATCCACTGCTGGATGACGACAGCCTCCCCACCCTCACCTCCCCCCCCCGCGCCGTTTCATATCGCGTTGCGGTGGTTTGACCATACTTCACCACGCTCGTCAGCGCGACTATTGTATGTAGGGTGTGTAGGTATATATAGTCAGTAAATACTACTGATTATTGTAGATACATCATACTACTGACTGAATTATATGTAGGGTGTGTAGGCATATATGCCTACAATACAACATAATTTCTTAAGGGTGGGGGGGGGTCAACAAATGTTGGAACCCTGTTGGATCAACTTTTTACCCCCACATCTTGGGGGCGGGGGTTCACTTTCTATAACTTTTTGGATTCAGGCCTTCTGAAGGCTCTCGTAATTTAGTTGACGGACAAACGGAACGCCGGGCTTTTATAATCAATATATTTTTTTTATTTTATAATCAATATATTTTTTTATTTTATAATCAATATATATTTTTATTTTATAATCAATATATTTTTATTTTATAATCAATATATTTTTTATTTTATAATAAATATATATTTTTATTTTACCAGGTAAGGGCCCACCGAGCTATGAAGCTCTTTTTTTTCAGAAGCGACCTTGGCCATCACAAATGATAGCTCAACGAAAGTGGCTCATCATCATCATCACATGGAAATGTATAGCAGCAGGCGAATACTCTAAACGCATGGCGATGTTGATTCGAAATGTGGAGGGGGAAAACTCCGGAGGACGCGGATAAAAAAATCCACGCGACTACGGGGAGAGAGAGAGAGAGACACGCAAGCTCCAAATGTAGAACAGACATTAGGGTCGTGGTTTGAACCCACGACCTCGTTGCACACCAGGCGAGGTAGTTAACATCTCGCCACCGTGGCGCCCCACGCTACCCAGAGCGTGTCCCGATGGAACTCACTCCTCGAACTGTTCTGTGACTGTGGCTCTCTCTCTCTCTCCCTCTGTGCGTGAGATGATGCGCGTCTTGCTGGTGCTCTCGTCCCAGGCTCGGAGTTCGCAGCGAACATCACGTGTTAGCACGAACGTGAAGCACCAACGAAAGGATCGTGCCTGGAGGGCCTACTTTTAACAGGTTCTGCTTAAGTTTATTTATTTTGTTAACCGGGTAGAGAACTAAAAAAAACAACATCAGTAGACCAGGATAAGTCTCATTTGCAAGAGTGACCTGGGACCAGTAAGTCTGACCAACAGGGGCATGGTTGATCGATGCAATGTGTAGGGGTGCTATGGGGAATAAACACATGACACGGGAAGGTGTGGTTCACCCACACCTTGGTGGCTACAACAACGTCCGCTAAGGCTCCAGTGGGTATAAAGTGCGGGGAGCCAGGGAGCTCGGGGCAGAGTGTGGGGCCCGAGGCTGAAGCAACCAGTGAAGAAAGAAGGCCAGCTAGGTGAGACCCTGGAACTCCTGTGACCGCTGCCCTTTTCAGGGCCGGCACAGCAAGCCAGTGGTGCGGCCCCAGAGCCCCAGAGTCAGAGTCCTTCTAAGGGCCGGTCTGGTCGGCGGGGTGCCGAGATCTGTGCCTAACCAGGGCCGGATCTAATAGCCTCCCTTAGAGCCCTACCAGGAGGAACTGGGAGCCTAGAGCTTAGGCTAGAGAGCCTGGGGTGTGTTCCTGAGTTATACGGGTGGAGGGGCCGCTACCCCTTCTAGTGTCACCCTTGTTAAGGTTTAAATAAATAGTGCTGCTTCTATTCTGCCGTCTCCGTGTCATGGAACCCACTACAAATGTGTCATCCAAACTGAGTCACTCTCTTTGTCAGCCTGGATTAACGGTGATGGTGAGGAGGTGTCTCGGACCGGCTCAGATATCGCTCACTCCTGGCCTTTAGGCGTGGCCGGGGATATAAAACTTCGTTCGCCGGGTTTCATAGGGCAGTGCGCTAACCGTTGCGCCGCCGCTCCAGGCGCACGCAGAATGTGGTTGTGAGCAACGTCTCAACACGAGTGACGTCTTCGCTTTAAAATGCGTCAACGTACCTGCGACGTTTGACAGCGTGGCAGTCATTGAACAGGTGACGTAGTCATTGAAGAAGTTCACCATCACCAAACTTTTCGTCTCTTTCTGGAATAAAGGACACAAAATAAAGACTTTTTTTGAATGTCAGGGTTTGTAAAAAAAAAAAACATTTTCTGCCGTAAAGGCAAAGGAACACTTAACACGTGGGGTTTGACGCAGCCAATATTACAATTGGTAATGAACGATTGGGTGAGGCCACGTAACGATCTGACCAAATTTGTGTCGCGCTGAATTTCTCCTGGAATAGTCCAGAACGCCGTCCGTTTAGACTATTTAGATTATTTTTCTGCTATAAATTTCAAAATGACGAGCCACTTTGTTGAGCTACGATTTGTGGCCAGGTCGCTTTTGAACAATAAGTTAATAACCTCAGTGGATTTTTTTCTGGTATGATGGTTATTGTGTAGTTTTATTTGAATCTGTTTGGGTGATTTGTTTAACATCTCTTGTACTTTGCACTCCGATCGCGTGTTGTGTATTGTTTGTTTATTGTAACGTGTTTACCCGCCCCGACTGGAAATCCGTGAAAAATATCTTAATAGCTCACCGGGTTCCTCCAGTTTAAATAAAGACTGATTCTGACACCCATCTCAGTCGATGTTGTCCTCGCCACGCCGCGATTGTGTGACGTTTGCTTTTGTGGTTCGTTTATTGTCCTTTCACCCAGACCTCCGATTAGCATGGTTGGCTGTTTACATTGCGAAAGACGTTCAAAATACATTCGAACTCCTGCATGCCAGTGTTTCTGATCCTTATAGCGTCGCAGATAAAATTATACACTTATTAAAATATTTTTTTTCCTGTCGGTGCATTGCTGTGTTTGTTTTTCATGATCAAGTTCAGTTTTCAGAAAATCACTTCGGGTTGCCCCTCTTTCTTCCGTCGTTCTGATCCTGGTCCTAGGCTTCAACGACTTCAAAATGTGAATATTGATTGTATACTGGAGGAATCCGATGAGCTAGAAAGCTCTTTTTCACAGACGTCCAGTCGGGACGGGTAAGAACGTTACAAACTACATAAACTCGATAGGAGTGCAAAGTACAAGAAAGGTGAAAACAAATCACCCAAACACATACAAGTAAAACTAAACCATCCCCATTCCACCAGACAAAGCGCACACTTCCCTAGGCACACACGTTCTCAAGATGTGTCATACAAAGACAAGGATCCCCCGTATAGCCTTAACAGGCTGTAGGGGCAAGTGCTGTGAAGGCCCGAACGGTACACGAGGGGGTGGGTGGCCAAAACCACGCCCGACCGCCTTTGGCGATGCTCCCAGCACCTGAATCGACCTAGGGGAACCCCAGGACCGGTTCAGATAATCTTCACCGGTGTTGGCTGTGAGCAGGAATCGAATCCGGGTCGCCGGGTTCATAGCGCAGCGCGCTAACCACTACACTACCGCTCCCCACACACACACACAGGTACACACACACACAGGTACACACACACACAGGTACACACACAGGTACACACACACACACAGGTACACACACACAGGTACACACACACACACAGGTACACACACAGGTACACACACACACAGGTACACACACACACACAGGTACACACACAGGTACACACACACAGGTACACACACACACACAGGTACACACACACACAGGTACACACACACACACAGGTACACACGTACACATACACAGGTACACACACACAGGTACACACAGGTACACACACACAGGTACACACACACAGGTACACACACACACAGGTACACACACACACAGGTACACACACAGGTACACACACACAGGTACACACACACACACAGGTACACACACACACAGGTACACACACACACACACAGGTACACACACACAGGTACACACACACACACAGGTACACACACACAGGTACACACACACAGGTACACACACACAGGTATACACACGTACACACACACAGGTACACACACACAGGTACACACACAGGTACACACACAGGTACACACACACACAGGTACACACACACACAGGTACACACACACACACAGGTACACACACAGGTACACACACACACACACAGGTACACACACAGGTACACACACACAGGTACACACACACACAGGTACGTACACACACACAGGTACACACACACACACAGGTACACACACACACAGGTACACACACACAGGTACACACACACACACAGGTACACACACACACAGGTACAACAACAACAACAACCGCCATTCGCCACTAAGTGGCGGTGACGTCACCACGACGCTTGTGCCAGGCTATGTGCACCCTGAGGCCACGTGAAGTGTCGAACGCCCGCTGGCAGGAGGTCACGGGGCAGACCCAGATACCACGGGTCGACTGACTGAGATGACTGGCTGATGCACCACCTGTGCCCCCTACTGTGCCAACCTGCTGTGCTTTAGCCACCCGGCGCTCCGCTCGCTGTTGTGAGCGTCGCTCCTCCGCCCTCCGTTGTTGTTGGAGGGCGACTGCCTCCAACTGCCCAGTAGCATCCTTCACGAGCCTCCTCCACAGAGGCCGATCTTGACACCGCTGGTACCAGTCATCGGCAAGTCCACTCAGCTCCACGTCCTCCTGTACCACATCACTCCATCTCTTCTCTAGCCCGTGCCGCGCCCGCTTAGCCCCCTCAATCCGGCCAAACAAAAGCTGTTTCGGCATGCGGTGGCTGGGCATGCGGGCTACATGACCCAACCATCGCAGCCTTGCCTGCCGGAGGAGCTCACCGATGGGACCCTGCCCAGATCTTTCAAGGATTTGTGAGCTCCTCACACAATCCAGTCTGGTTAAACCCAGGATGGATCGTAGGCAGGTCAGCCTAAATGTTTCTAACCGGCGAAGATGTTCCATTAGGGGGGTCCACGTTTCGCAAGCGTAGAGAAGGGAGGGAATGATCGTGGCCGAGAAGACCTGAAGCTTAGTGCGGAGCGACAGACCAGGTAGCTTCCACACAGCGTTACGCAACCGATGAAAAGATATTGCCGCTCGACTGATTCGGAGTGAGACCTCTGCTGTTAAACTGGAGCCAGTCATAAGCACACTGCCCAGGTATGGGAAACTCTCCACTCTCTCCACAACTGCCCCATCACCGATTGGGAGTTGTGGGGGTGGAGTGTCCGATGGTACAAAATACCCAGGCAGGTGCTTAGTTTTGGTGGGGCTGATGGTAAGGCCCCACCTCTTAGTGGCACGCTCCAGTCTCAGCAGCAGCGTCTCCAACTCCTCCTCTGACTGAGCAGCTATTACCAAGTCATCAGCATACATAACGTGGTTGAGCAATAGGGAGCCATCCCTTGACCGCACCCGGGCATCGATTAGCCTCCCATTATATCTGTACCATATGGAGATTCCCCCGGTACAGCTATTGAAGGCTTCACGAACTACGTGGTCAAAATAGATGTTAAATAATGTGGGAGCCAGAGGACATCCCTGTCGCACCCCAAGGTGTACAGGGAATGGCTCTGACTCCCGGCCACGTAGTTTTACCCGGGCCCGCTCACCATCATGAAGGTCCTTAATGATCGTGAGCAGAGGGTCAGGTACTCCAAAAGCACGAAGAACGACCCAGAGCCCAGGCCTACTGATGGTATCATAGGCCTTGACCAGGTCAATAAAGCAGAGATGTAGGTCTTGTTGGAATTCCCTACACCTCTGCTGTAGCAGACGGACAGAAAATATGGCATCTGTGCAGGACCGCCCTTTCCTGAAACCGCATTGGGGCTCCGCAAGCCTCTCCTCAGCGTGCCTGGCAAGGCGATGCTGAATAATCCTTGCCAGGACCTTTCCCGGCACACTGAGGAGTGAGATGCCCCTGTAGTTGTTACAGTCTGTGCGGTCCCCCTTCTTAAAAAAGGGGGACCACCAGGGCATCCTTACAATCCTGCGGAACCCGTCCAGTGGTCCAGACTGTTGTTATGATGTCATATAGGGTAGTCTGTGCACAAACGTCACCCTCCCTCAGCATTTCGCTTGGGAGATCATCTCTGCCCGCTGCCTTTCCTGGTCTCAGACTCCGGATCGCCTTCAATACTTCCTCAGCAGATGGCACCTCAGCCAGCCACTCACAGGGGGTGACTTCATCCATTATTTGAGGCACCGCAGCCTCAGCAGGGTCATCCTCACTTTGTGCCACGATGTTTTCCTGGCTGAGGGATTTTCCCTCCCCCAGGACCTCACAGAAATGCTCAGCAAATCTGCGAACCTGTTCCTGGGGGTCGGAAATTGGATCACCGTTTTTTCCCCTAATGATGGTAATAGGTGTGGCGCTGCAGGTTACTTTTTTGATGGAGTTAAATAGAGATTTGTGATCACGGGCCACTGAGGCAGACTCCATCTCCTCAGCAACCCGCGACCACCACCCATCCTTGCAGCGCCTCACGGCTCTCCGAACCTCCGAGCGAAGGCTGCGGTAAGCCTCCTCATTCTCTGACGTGGGATTCTGTAGCCGATGACAGTGGGCCTGTCGCTTTTTCTCAACCATCGTGAACAACTCCTCTGTCATCCAGGGTGTCTGGGGAGGTCTGGACCGCGTACCCAAAGCAGCCATTGCAGCTGCATGAGTCACAGTCCTAAACCTCGCCCATTTACCCTCGACATCAGGAGGAGTCGGGGACGATGCCAATCCCAGCCGCAAGCGATGATGAAATTCTCGCTTGCAACTTTCATCAGATAACTGAGACCAGGCCACTTTAGGTTGGAATGGGGTCCTGGGTGTACACCCACCACCGGAGTGGAAGAATGGCAGGCGCATCTTACAGATGACTAGTCGATGGTCAGAGGGCAGATCAGTTCCACGGTAGGTCCTGGTGTCAAGGACATGGGCTCGTATTCGCTGGTCCGTCACTATGTAGTCCAGCAGATGTTCTTGCTTGGACCCGGCATGCATCCATGATGTTGTGTGGATGCGCCGATGCCGGAACAGCGTGTTGGTAATTACAAGCCCATGGGCTGCACAAAAATCTAGCAGCCTCCTACCGTTGTTATTGAGCTGATCTGGCCCATGCCCTCCAATCACTCCAGACCAGGTGCCAGTATCATGACCAACTCGGGCATTGAAGTCACCCAACATGATGACTCTATCCCGAGGGGCCACTTTAGCCAGCACCTGTGACAGGAGGTCATAGAAGGCATCTGCCTCATCGGCTTTGCCTGCATCCCTCCACGGATGTTCATCTTCGGTGGGGGCATAAGTAACCACGACCACCATTCCTCGCCTCCGGTTGATGGGAAGGCGAGCCCAAAGTAGCCTGGGGCTTACAGCTTCCCACACCTCACCGCCACGCTCCCACGCCCCCTTCATTCTTTTGTTCAAAAGAAGACCCACACCCTGTTGTTTAGCAGTCTGCTGCCCCGAGTAGAGGACTGTCCACCCCTCATGGTGGCAGGAGCCAGAGCCGGTCCACCGGACCTCCTGAATGCCGCATAGATCCAGGCGGTACCGGTCCAGCTCCCGACAGAGGAGTGGCAGCCTCTCCTCTGCAGTGAGCGTTTGAACATTCCACGTGGCCAACCGTAGTGGCTTTTCGTTGTTTCTGGAGTAGCCCCGAGGGTAGGTATTCAATCTCCTGGCTCCGCCAATTGGGGTTTGGCCAGGAGACGTCATAGACGCCTGGCCCCCCGGGGCCTCTGGCACAAGCTTAGTTGTTACATATTTCAGCTTAATTCGTAGTTTCGTGGTAATTAATTGAAGGTGGAGGGGTTACCAGCCCCTCGCACCTGTCCAGAGCCCCCGTTTAGCCCCTGTGGTGGACACATATGCCATGAGGGGAGGAGCCAATCAAAATTGGATCTCCCCCCACAGCGCTGTCCACGACAGAGTTACACACACAGGTACACACACACACAGGTACACACACAGGTACACACACACACACACAGGTACACACACACAGGTACACACACACACAGGTACACACACACACACACAGGTACACACACAGGTACACACACACACACAGGTACACACACACAGGTACACACACACACACACAGGTACACACACACACACACAGGTACACACACAGGTACACACACACACACACACAGGTACACACACACACACACAGGTACACACACAGGTACACACACAGGTACACACACACACACACAGGTACACACACAGGTACACACACAGGTACACACGGCACACACACATGCTGCGATGTTTTTTTTTTGAGTGAATCCTGCTACAGGTGACCAGATGTTACCGAAGGAGCGGACTTGAATTCAACTTCCTTTTTTGGTTTCCTTTACGACGAAACCGTCCTTCAACGAGGATGCGGGGCCTCCCGTGACGCCAAAAATTGCCCGACAGGCGATGCGACGTCGTGTCAGCCGATAGCGGCATGGGGGGCGGGGGGGGGTGTTGATTAAACGAGTTGAGAAAAATTCAGGTTTGGTGCCAGCGCTTATCACCACTTTGAGCAGGAGGTCATCCGGCAGGTTGCGGTAGTGCTTGCAGATTTCGAAGGCCGAGGAGTGGCTGAAAATGATGGGGGCCTTGGAAACTTCGAGGGCGTCCCGAGTCGCCTTCAGGGAGACGTGGGATGCGTCCACCATCATCCCCAGGCGATTCATCTCCAGCACCACACTCTGTGGACGGCAATCGCCGCACGCAGCGCGGTCGGTCACGTGCGGTAAGGGGCCGCCCATAAATGACGTCACGCGATTTTTGACGATTTTTGACCCCCCCCCCCCCCACCCCTTCGTCACACGGCGTCACAAAAAGTCAGACACCCACCCCCCTCTAAATATGACGTCACAAAGCTCTGCCCCCCCCCCCAAAAAATAAAACATGCTTCAAATCGCTTTAAACTATTGTCACTGTAGTGCTTATTTAATGTGGCGCTGCACTCTGATGTTGTGGGAGAAAACATTTATTAAAAAAGTCTCTTTAATTAAGTAGAACGTGTTGTCTATATTTATTTAAAGTTGCGCATTTTGATGTGACGTCACATTTCTCACCACCCCCCCCCCCCCCCCCCCCCATCGTCACACATCGTCACAAATGTCTGACCCCCCCCCCCGCCCCCCCCAGGTGTGTGACGTCATTTATGGACGGACCCTAACGAAGGAAATCGATAACAAGAAAACGAGCGGGTCACAGCGTCCCGTCTCACACGGAGAGACGGGACGCTGGGTGTACGGAGGCGATGGCAGATGATGCTCCAGTCACCGATGTGCGCCAACTTACTTTTCCGAAAGGAGAAAGTCCGTTGGAGTGTGGCGAATCGTCGCCACTGTCGACACGCCAGTTGTCCACCCTGCGCCAAGAATGCAACATTTTATAGTCGGTGAATAAAAAAAAATAGAAACTACTAACTATTTTTTAAAATTTATTTTACCAAGGTAAAATCCCCCCCACCGAGCTATTAGGTCTTCTTAAGAAGCGACATGGCCACAAACGTTAGCCCGACGGAAGTGGCTCATCGTCACGTGGACATTTACAGCAGCAGACGATTTCTCTGAACGGACGTTGATTCTAAACGTGGAGGGAAAACCCGGACGATCCAGAGAAAAGTCCACGCGACCACGGTGAGAGAGCGAGAGATAGAGAGAGAAACAGAACACGCAAACTCCAAATATATGACAGGTGTCAGGATCCGGATCGAACCCACGACCTCCTGCACAGCAGGTGAGGGAGATGACATCGCGTCACCGTGGGTGGCGCCTCGTTTTGACTTTGTTATCTCCCCGACTCTGAATCCGCCGACTCCATTAATTACCAGGTGAGACAGCCCCACTCTCACCCCCCCCCGCCCCCCACAACGCCTCCACCAAAGACAAAGATCAGCCAGTTAAATGTGTGTCGTACACCCTCCGCCACTCGACACAGCCAATCAATAAAGTTGTTCAAGTGACAACTTTAATGATTGCCTGCGTCAGGTGGCAAAAAAATAAAAATAAAATAAAGATACCCCCGTATCATCTTAACAGACTGTTGGGGGCAAGTGCTGTTAGCGAGAAGCACCTATGAAGGCCGGCAAGGCGCACAAGGCCAACACCACGCCCGGCCGCGTTTATCTCCCCAGTGGTGATATTTACACACCGCACCAGGTACTCATTTGAGAGCTGAGTCGACCCAGGGGAGGCCCAGGGCCGGTTCAGATAATCGCCACCGGGTGACTGCAGCCAGTGCCAACCATCTCGAGCTGGCGGCCGTCTTCATCGCACGGCTGCTCAGCTCAATGAGGCCTCCTCCTCGCCAGCTGAGCAAGAAACGGCCCGAGTCGTCTGATGGGTCGAGCCTGCGACTCACCAGGGCGTGTTACAGCTGTGAGTCAGGGTCATGTATCGCACCCCCAGGTGGTAGAAGAGGCGCAGAGTCGCCAGGCTGCTGTCGATGGAGTGACCGCCCTCCACTCCGATGAGCGAAGCGATTTTCCCAGCACCGTGGGCATCTTGGATCTCTGCAACGAGAAGACGAAAACAAAAATCAGGAAAATAATGACCGCGGCGCCCTTTCGACGGGAAGATCTCAGGGCTTCGTCTTGCGCGAAGCTCACGGTCCACCCTCAACCGCGCATGTCCACTGCACAGACCGTGGCGGCAGCAGATGCGGATACCTGATGATGCACAAATGTAACGTAAAAAAACCCTCCAGTAGCGGTGCGCGACCGTGGTCATCCAAGACACAGAGACCGTAACGACGTAGTCAATTGGTCCCGGTACACAAATACGAAGGAGTCATCGCAGCGACGATGATGCTTACTCCGCTGTCTCCTTGACGAGGTTGTCTGGCTTGGACCACCGTGAATGCGAAATCGTAGTTTGTTTCTTGATTTGAAGCTTTCACGGTAACGCGGAAGGCGCGTCCCCCGTTATAACGCGGTTTCTCAGTGGTCGCCGGCGAACTACTTTCTCGAGCTGAGCCGCTGAGCGGATTGATACGGTACTCGGAATGGTGCGGTGACGCGGCGGAGCACCCCCTCAGTTCTCTGTCCCGCCAACTCGCCATGTGGTGGTGGTTGTGGTAGTGGTGGTGGTTACAGAGTATCTCGCCAAACATCATCGGGAAGCTGACGTTTTCGCTCAACGCGTTTTTTTTTTTTACGCTCGGCACTCTCCAGGAGCGCCGATCTGCGGCGCCTCGCTCACCTTGGGCCGTGGTGGCGAAGGAGAAGGCCTCGGGATATTTGTGGCACATCCTCTGGATGACGTCGATCTGCTCCAGCGTTTGCTGCACGGAGTCCTTGTACTGAGAGTCGCACGGCACGTAGGCTGCCCAGAACTGCACAGGCACAGGGAAAGATCCCCGACCCCAACCGTCGTGTAGCCTCAACAAGACTGTTGGGGCGAGCGCTGTTAGCGAGTAGCACCTGTGGAGGCCGGCATGGCACGGCACGCGAGGGCGTAGGGTGCCCAACACCGCGCTCCGCCGCCTTTGTCTCCCCACTGGCGATGTTTACTACACACCGCACCGTGTACTCATTTGAGGGCTGAGTCGACCCAGGGGAGGCCCCAGGACCGGTTCAGATATTCGTCGCTGGTGTCGGCCGTGGGCCGTGAGCGGGAATCGAACTCGGGTGGCCGGGTTCGGAGCGCAGTGCGCTAACCACCACACTACCGCCCGCTCCACACACACACAAACAAAGATGCATATTTCCCCCTATAGCCTGAACAGAGTGTTGGGGCAAGTGCTGTTAGCGAGTAGCACGAGGGGGTGGGTGGCCAGCACCACGCCCGGCCGCCTTCGTCTCCCCAGTGGCGACGATGTTTACACACACCGCACCAGGTATACTCATTTGAGGCTGGGTTGACCGAGCACAGGCACGTGCACACACGGACACAGATTCCTAGGAGTCTCGGGCTATCGGGAAAAGTTCTGTTAATAAATGAAAATCATCAACTTGATGTAAGCTAGACCAGGCGGACTGTAAGGGGGGTGCCTCGGGACACACATCACTCGCGCCACTGATGTTAGCCGTGGCCGAGAATTGAACTCGAGTCGGCGGGTTCGTAGCGTAGCGCGCTAACTGCTGCGCCACCGCTCCACAATGATAAGCACAAATACAAAGATCCCCCGTGTAGCCTTAACAGACTGTTGGGGCAAGCGCTGTTAGCGAGTAGCACTCTATGAATGCCTGAACGGCATACGGGGGGGGGAGGGGGGGTGGGTGGCCAGCACCACGCCCGCCCGCCTTTGTCTCCCCAGTGGCGATGTTTACACACCGCACTAGGTACTCATATCAGGCTGAGTCGACCTAGGGGAGGCCCAGGACCGGTTCAGATAATCGTCACTGGTGTTGGCCGTGAGCGGGAATCGAACCCGGGTCGCCAGGTTCATAGCGCAGCGCGCTAACCGCTACACTACCGCACACACAGACACACACAGGTAGACACACACAGACACACACACTCACACACAGGTACACACACACACGCGCGCGCGCGCACGCGCTCACGCAGTGAGGGTTTGTGGCTGTGGCCGTCTCACACCTGGGCCCCGACGTGTCCGCTGCGGAGTTTGTCGATGTTGGTGTGGGTGGTGTTGATCGTGACGAGGTCGATCTGTCCCAGCTGGTTTTTTACTTTTGCCCGAATCTGCCAAGGGAGGTCGTTGTGCCTGGTGGGCAAAAAAAAACCGATCCGTCATCAGTGTCGCATCGAGCCCGACGCTGACGATGCCTGCTGTTTGCGTGTCTCTCTTCATCATTATCATCACGGTGGCGAGATGTTAACTATCTCGCGTGGAATGCAGGAGGTCGTCGACTCGATCCAGACCCTGACGCCCGCTGTATAAGTCGAGAATTTAATCTAGATTTGAAGTTTTCGTGACTGCAGGGGTCCATACTCTTTGGTTCTTTCGGTAAAGTCACGTAGGTTTTTTTCAGTTTTATTTTTTCGTTTATTTATTTTGGTATAGCCCTGTGAGCCATTCGACTCTTGAATCGGGTGCAACCACAGCAAACAAAAAAACTAAAACACGAACAAGAAAACATCTTAAAGTGACTATGTGACTGTGCAAACAGAAAATTCATGAAAAAAACAGCAAAATATTCCTGAAAAGAGCACCGTACACCAACGCTGTGTGCAAAAAAATCCCAGTGGGATGCAAGTCAAACAACAACAACAACAACCACCACAAGAAAACTTAGATTAAGGCCATCAGTCTAACTCCGTACTACAACAAAACAAAACATGTCCAAACCAAAAAACGTTTTCGAAATCACCAAAAAATAAAGCCATAATTGCAACGTAACTGTGATCATAGGGACTGTGACCGATTTTTTTTTTTACAATAAACTACATAAATAACATGAAACACCAAATCCTAGGTATAAAATAAAATAAATTAAATCACGACGTTTCGATTGCAACACAAGCAATCATCATCAGGTGGGAAAACCACAGCAAGAAAACCAAGATCGTAACTTACCCGTCGATGAGCGGAACTTCCTCCATGAGCTGCACGGCTCTCTGCAAGTTCGTCAGCGCGTTTGTCGCGCAGCAAAAGAGAAGCAGCGTCGTCAGCAGCGTCTCGAAGCCGGCCGCAGACATCGCGGCCTAAGGTGTCCGAATCCTCTAAAATTGAGCGAAACAAATTGAACCAAGACTACCCACGAGATTCGTGTCGGTTATGAGCCCTTCCGCACAGATGTCTCCCCTCTATACAAAGACAAAAAAACACGAAGATTTCCCCCCCCCGCGTATAGCTTGTAATAGACTGTTGGTGCAAGCGTTGTCAGCGAGCACCTATGAAGTTCGGAACGGCACACGTGGGGGTGGGTGGCCAGCACCACGCCCGACCGCCTTTGTCTCGCCAGTGGTGTTGTTTCACACACCGCACCAGGTACTCATCTGAGGCTGAGTCGACCTAGGGGAGGCCCAGGACCGGTTCAAATAATTGTCACTGGTGTTGGCCGTGAGTGGGTATCGAACTCGTGTCGCCGGGTTCATAGCGCAGCGCGCTAATCACTCTACACGCACACACATTATATAGGCGGTGGTGCTGTTTCACCTCTAAGGCTGCGTGGTAAAAGATTATCTTTCTCCGTTAATGTGTTATCCATTTATATACATCGCACGGGTTGTGGATTGTCCATCGATTGCAAATTTAAGTGCATGGACGGACGGACGGGTGAATGTACCACAGGTTCCCGTGCGGAGGGAGGGCTTCTTTTTGTTCTTTCTTATGGATTCAGGGCAGCAGATTAAATATGTAATTGTAGACGTTGTTCACAATACAAGTGTTTTGGGTTAGATCGCGTAAATGTATAAATGTGTCGTTAAACCCGCCACCACCCGACACAGCCAATTAGTGAGGGTTGTCACGTGAACAGAACGTGTCATATTCGTTACTAGCACAGCACACCGCTGTGTTGGAGAGCAAAGCCACAACAACGTTTACAATCTTGAGTACGACGTTTCGCCGGCAATTACAACCAGCTTTTTCAGGCAACAGCCAGATGTTGTTACACACTCACTTGTCCTGGTTCAGACGCCGAGTGGACCTCGTCCGTTCTCCCGTTAGAGGAGTGAATGCGGCAGCGGCTGTTTACGATTCGGGTCGATCGTTTGGGATTGTTTAAATTCCACATTCCTATGGATGGAGAAAGGTCGTTTTTTTGTCTCTCTCTCTCTCTGCCATATGTGGTTTTGGGGCACAAACCCCAGAACCACATTGGAGAGCCGTACAGTAGCGCAACTGTGCTCACCTGCTGCGCATGAGTCTAGGACAGGTTAAACGTTCCGTAAATGCTACGATGCAGTGCAGAACACACCCATTTAGGACTCCCAGTTTCTGAAATAAAATCACTTTTACGGTGTCCGCTATTGCGCCATCAAAGGTAAGACATTTAACGCTGTTTGGGAAGGGTGTCATTTAGCGTGACCTTGAAAAGTGCAAAAGAAAAAAGTTCCAACTGTTCAAAGCGCACGGATGCGTGCATTCAGATGCGTGGGAAACCACGGGCGAGTGGCAGCCCGAACCAGCGCCGACAATCGACCAAGCTCTCTGGTCCTATATTAGGACGTTTGACTAACTCCATGAATGTGTGAGGAAATCCGAGTGACCAGGTGAAAACCCACGGGGATATGAAAGCGGGAACCCCCCCCACCCTCTCCTTTGTCTCGTACAGCTTGAACAGATGGAGATTAGTCCACTTTCACCTGGTAAGCTGCCAGGGTGGGTATGGCCACGGGAGAAAGGAGAATTTCACAAGAATCTGTGCTATGATCCACCAACCCTAGCTGCCGCATCCACAGTGCTGGATTACAGACAGCCACGTGCAGCGTATGCCACCACCACGACCACCACCACCACTGCCACCACCACCACCACCGCCACCACCACCGCCGTATTATTCGATAAGCCACAGTAGACACTGTGCCTAGGGTCTACGAAAACCGAAAGGGACTACGAAAAAAACATTTTTTGTTGTTGTTCGTAAGATGATTTTTTTTAAACCAGGATATCTTCTTGAATAAATGTATTTATACGGCAAGGGTAGGCACAGTGTAGATACAAAGAGGCGGAGTCAATCATTTTTTTCTTAAGATGAGAGAAATTATGTACGGGGAGATGAACTTTTTGAGATAATTTAAATGCAAAATTCGCAATAACATCTTCAAATTGTGTTCTTTCCCTCCCCCCACCCCGCACAATCAAGCGGAGTGACAGCGGCCGTCATCGCAGTGACATTGGGGCAGCAGCAGCAGCACCGAGACTCTAGAGAGTTTATCACCGAAGACCGAACGACACAGACGTGCCCCAGGGCCCACAAGAAGATTCATCCGGCCCTGCCGAAGCCGCCTCCCCGGCTTCAGAAAATTCGAGACGCTTCAGACGGGTGTACAAAGGCCAACCGGGAGACGCCGAGCCGGGCACAGCTGAGACCCTTGGATCCGAATCCAGATTCCAAATACTCCCGAGCACGATTAAACCGTCCCCTATTCTCGAGTGCTGTGAAATTTGACCGGTCACCTGACATATGCCCACGGACCGGGATGTTACTTAAAAAAAATGAAAAAAAACACAAGCCACCCGTCTACTTATCTGGCCAATCTCTTGAGACGCGTTTACAAATGACAATTTACGAAACTTGCCACAATAAGTGCAAAGGGCACGCTCGAGATTGGGGCGGGTGGCGCAGTTAAAAAATATCCGACCTCGACCCGAGTTCATCTCCTGGCAATGGTTGCCGAGTGACATCTCAGCGTCTCCTCGACCGACCGCCACCATCACCGACCCCGCAGCGACCAGCAAAAACGTCACTCGGTTGGGAATTGATGCGATCTAGGCCCAGTCGGATCAATCAATCGATCGATGAATACAATCTAAACTTCTCATCGCCTCAACCGAGGTTTCTCCCATCCCCCTCCCCCACCCTCCCCTAGACGTCGCCAATTGTGCAGCGTTACATTTTGGGAAGTTTGTTTCATCTGGCAAATCCCAGCTCCCGAGAATTCAAACGTTCGGTTTGATCGGTTTGACCACCAGCCACGCGATGAACATTTCTCTCCGTGGCAGGGGGGGGGGGGGGGGGTGTGGGGGGCGTGTGGGAAAGCGTGCAGTGCCCATCGAGTGTGACTGGAGGGTTCGACCTCAGAAGTAGTTCCGTCAAATCTCCTTCCTCGCGAACTCTGCGACGGTTCCGAATAAAGTCCCGAATGTAAGTATCCCGTTGCGTGTAGCCCGGTTTACGTGTGACCTCACGCACGCACGCACGCCTGATCACATCCGGTGACTGCACACGTGCGCGCAGGGATACGCTGCGTGAGCAACAAAGAGGACCGCGGGAATATCCATTGTTGTACTGCACTTCTATGTGTCTTCCCCAAGACATGCTGGCCAGCGCAGAAGAGTGGCCTCCCTCTAGCTCGGCAGTTTTTTTTTTTTTAAACTTTTACTGTGGCCTTGCACTCCTCTGGTTCTCAGTCGTTAAACAAATGTACAATGTTAATAAATACATAGGGGGTGTGATGAAACAATGTAGTTGTACTCACGTGCACGTGTTTAATTTGCGCTTCGATTATTCACCTTCTAAAAACAAATCTGGCCGTGTCTCGCAGCCCTCCCCTCCCCCCGCACCCCCAGAAACGGCATCTCGCACCCCCAGGGTGTGGCGTGCAACCCAGGTTTAGAACCACTGATGTATTGTATAGCGTAGTGCATAGTGTAGTGTATAGTAGTGTAGTGTATAGTGTACTTTATTGTATAGTGTAATGTATAGTGTCGTGTATAGTAGTGTAGTGTATAGTGTAGTTTATTGTATAGTGTAATGTATAGTGTCGTGTATAGTAGTGTAGTGTATAGTGCAGTGTATAATGTAGTTTATTGTATAGCATAGTGTATAGTAGTGTAGTGTATAGTGTAGTTTATTGTATAGCGTAGTGTATAGTGTTGTGTATAGTAGTGTAGTGTATAGTGTCGTGTGTAGTAGTGCAGTGTATAGTGTAGTTTATTGTATAGCGTAGTGTATCATAGTGTAGTGTATAGTAGTGTAGTGTATAGTGTAGTTTATTGTATAGCGTAGTGTATCATAGTGTAGTGTATAGTAGTGTAGTGTATAGTGTAGTGTATAGTAGTGTATAGTGTAGTGTATAGTAGTGTAGTATATAGTGTAGTGTACAGTAGTGCAGTGCATAGTAGTGTAGTGTATAGTGTAGTGTATGGTAGTGTAGTGTATAGTGTAGTTTATTGTATAGCATAGTGTATAGTGTAGTGTATAGTAGTGTAGTGTATAGTAGTGTAGTGTATAGTAGTGTAGTGTATAGTAGTGTATAGTGTAGTGTATAGTAGTGTAGTGTATAGTGTAGTGCATAGTGTAGTGTATAGTGTAGTGTATAGTAGTGTAGTGTATAGTGTAGTGTATAGTAGTGTAGTGTATAGTAGTGTAGTGTATAGTAGTGTAGTGTGTAGTAGTGTAGTGTATAGGGTAATGTATAGTAGTGTATAGTGTAGTGTATAGTAGTGTAGTGTATAGTGTAGTGTATATTGTAGTGTATAGTGTAGTGTATAGTAGTGTAGTGTATAGTGTAGTGTATAGTGTAGTGTATAGTAGTATAGTGTATAGTATAGTGTATAGTGTAGTGTATAGTGTAGTGGTTCTTAACCTTTACTGCAACTTTGCACCCTTTTGGTTTGCCGTCGTTAAAACAAAGTGTGTGATGTTAATAAATACATAGGGGTCTGATGAAACAATGTAAGTTGTACTCAAGTGCCCGTGCTTACTTTGTGTTTTCGATGCGAGACATGGGCAAATCTGGCCACGTCTCGCACCCCCCAGAAAGGGCATCTCGCAAGCCCCAGGCGGTGCGTGCACCCCCAGGTTAAGAAGTGGAAGAAGAAGAAGAGAACCACCGCTCGGGTGTCGAGTGCACGCCCTTCCTCAGCAGTGGCGTGAGCGTACACTTGCAAAGGGCTGCGCCTTCAGCTTTTAACTGGGAAACGAGGGATGGGGGGGGGTAACTACGAGGGATGGGGGGGGGGGGTAACCACGAGGGATGGGGGGGTGTAACCACGAGGGATGGGGGGGGTAATCACGTGGGATGGGGGGGTAACCACGTGGGATGGGGGGGGGTAACCACGTGGGATGGGGGGGGGGGGGTAACCACGTGGGATGGGGGGGGTGTAACCACGAGGGATGGGGGGGGTAACCACGAGGGATGGGGGGGGGGTAACTACGTGGGATGGGGGGGGAAACCACGAGGGATGGGGGGGGGGGGTAACCACGTGTGATGGGGGGGTAACCACGTGGGATG